TGTGTATATAGCATACGTGCTTTGGACAATCATAAGAAGTAAACAAAACAAGTTACAAGATGTCGAATAAACGATACGACTTTAACACCTTGACTACAAGAGGTTGCCTAGCAACGTGAAGCTTTGGACGTGGGCGTGGTCTTCTTTGTTTTATCTCATAGCTTTTTTGTTTTTGTTTTATTCCTATTTCTCTTTTCTGGAGAGTGGAAATAACACTCTCCAACAGATGGCATACTACTCTAGTGACGGAGCAATAACAAAACTTGAAGGCTACTGAGCTGCTTGTACTGAGTTTCGCAAGATAATTTTTGTGTAAAAGGTGGCCTGAAAAGAGGATTAAGTATTTGAAATCGAAGAGTAATTTGTTAGTAAAACAGATACTCGAATATACCATTCTTCCCCCTGTGGTATCGTCTCCAACACACACATGGTTTCCGCACAGGTAGCCTATTTCAGTGCCTATTTCCGTTTTCAATGCGCACGCTCAAAGTTTAGAAAAGAGCGAGATGTTGTCGGCCGCGTTCCGTTCGCAAGCGGTTCCACATTTACCCATGGTTTTGTTTTTGTGACTGATTTCAGGGCTTGTTTTCGTTACAAAGTTTAAAAAAAACCTTTTATCCTTTCTATTGACCCCAACCCCTCCATCCCGTACGGTAAGAGGCTAGTCTTTAGGTAAGAGGCTTATCTTTAATTAATGTAGTACTTGGTTAGATTTCAGGTTCTTGCTTGCATATCGAGTAACTGGTTTATCTGGAGTCTTATTTCTCAAGATCGAAGGTCCTATATGAGTATATGAGTGCAAAACTTTAGTAAATTTTAACTCAAACCTAAGTAACAGATCTGTTTGATTATGATAAATTATGAGCAAGACGAGGAAATTTGAGCTCGAGTTGGAACGTACGCCATTCATATCAAAATCAGTTACATTTTGTGTTGAAAAAACAAACAAACACCTTTTTCAAACATAACTACTGACCGTAAAAAAATCGTTTGTTGATCAAGAAAAACAGAGATAATTGGACTACCCCCCCCCCCCCCCCCCCCCCCCAAAAACCAAAACAAAAACCAAACAAAAAAACAAACAAATAAAAGCAAAATTTTGAGAATTTTTATCGAGTGGGCCCTAACTCGGTCTTTTTGCTGTATCCCTCACAGCTCAGGTTGACCCTTATCGACGGGCAGGATCGAAGCCCACCTCCTAAGTGATAGCCCATATTTATTTTTTTTGGGAAGCATTTTTCAGCGCTCGCAACTGCATAATGTCACATATGAGCGTGTGGGGCACATTCATTTGGCATAAAATTTTCAGTTTGTAAGAAATTTTGCATTTTTCTAGGGTCGGGCGGCCAAAGCCTACTCTTATCGATTTTGGACCACCAAGGGATCTTCAACGTGCACAACTTGCGGGGTACCTCCTAGATTTTTCGCCCTGTCCGAGAAAGCTGGATGTAGATCTTTCTTACTGGAAGATCAGGGTTGTGGCTGAAAGACAACCAGAAGAAGGAGCCAAGGAGTAGCAGTAGAAAGGCTGCAGAAAGAGTCCGGAGCCCAGAGGAGGGGGGCAAAGGAGGTGAGGGGGGGAGGTGGGTTCAGAAAGTGGAGACGAAAGCAAACGACTGCGAACATTATTAGAGAGCAGGAAAGGATGTGAAAGGAGAACATTTTTAGAAGAAAACTTTCCATCGCAATCCTGATTCAAACTCACGACCTATTGAACGAGAGGTGAACACCTTAACTTCTAGACCACGAGTCATGAAAGCCCCCTTAATGATACGTAATTGTGCCCATGAGGATGAAAGGACATAAGTTTATAAGAATGGGAAGAAAGAAAAGTGCCAGCAGACTGGCAAAATGCGATAGTGGTGCCAATATGGAAGAAAAAGGGCAGCAAGAAAGACTGCAACACCTATAGAGGCATATCTCTTCTCAGCCATGTGGGGAAAATGTATGCACAAATCCTAGAGCGACGTATTCGCGCAAAAACCGAACATCTTCTCAGTGACGCCCAATTTGGCTTTAGAAAAGGAAGAGGGTGCATTGATGCAATCTTCGCACTCCGACAACTGTGTGAGAGGGCTTTGGAATACGACAAAGATCTCCACCTCGTATTTGTGGATCAAGAAAAAGCCTTTGATCGAGTAAATAGAAACAAGCTATGGAAGATCTTAGAGCAGTACGACATCAAGGGACAACTGCTAGACAACATCAGGGCTATCTATGCCAACAGCAGAAGCGCTGTCCGAACTACCAGTGGAACATCGGACTGGTTTCCAGTAACATCCGGAGTGAGACAGGGCTGCAATCTCTCCCCTCTGCTCTTCGTGATCTACATGGACCAGATAACAAAAGAGGCCAATCCAGACCCAGAGGCACTCAACGAACTCATGTTTGCAGATGACCTGGCAATGATTAACAACAAGACTCAGCTACAGGAGCATATAAACCAACTAAATGCGAGCTGCGAAAAATATGACATGAAGATCAGTATAAGCAAGACCGAAGTCATGACAATTAGCAGGAGACCAGGTAAAGTGGATATCAACATCAATGGATCCCAACTAAAACAAAGCAGAGAATTCAAATACTTGGGCAGCATTTTCACAGAAAATGGAAAATTAGATCGAGAGATAGAGACTAGATGCCAGAGAGCCAACGCAGTCAGCTACCAACTGGGCCCTCTCCTGAAACATTCCAATATCCCCATGAGCACCAAGGTGAAGCTCATCAACGCCATTTTCCTTCCAACGCTCACATATCAGTGCCAGACATGGACTCTAACAAAAGCCCTAGAGAGGAAACTGGTCACATGCGAGATGAAATGCTTAAGAAGAGCGGTCAACAAAACAAGAAGAGACAAAATTAAAAATGAAGTCATAAGGGACACCGTGGGAGCAACACCAGTCCTACCACACATTGAAAAACAAAAGGTCAAGTGGTTCGGACACCTCACGCGGATGCCCTCAAACCATCCAGCTCTGAGAGGATACAACATGAAATATTTTGGATGGAGAGCCAGAGGAAGACCAAGGCGACGATGGAGTGAATCTGTGGCAGACACCCTTAAAGATCATGGGATGTCCCTCCTACAGGCCATACGACTTGCTGCAGACAGACACCTGTGTCTCCCCGCGACACCCCAGGGTACAAGCGGAAGAAAAAGGTAAAAGTAAGTAAAGGAATAAAACTACATTTGAAATACATAAGTTAATACTATTATTATTATAATTATTATTATTATTATTAATATTATTATTATTATTACATTGTAAAAAAAATAAAAAAAAAAAAAAAAATTATTGTTGTAGGCTACAAGGGAAAAGTGGAACTTTCATTTTGCGAACTTATGAAAAGGAGAACACACTCCTTACTTTTCCAGTATATTTTGCCACGGTCGGCGTTCATTCGCTTCGCTCCGTAATTTATCAGAGGGCTGTTCCGCCTCCGAGTAGGTCACAAGCAACTGAAGCGAGCTGTGTTTCACTACAAGCAATTCTAAAATCTCTTATTATGCTACACGTCGAACCAAGTTCAAATTGTTCTTTTTTAGAGCTCATGACACCTTTTACAGCTACCTCGATAAAAATATTCAAAGTTTTAAAAAAGGACTAAATCTATCTGAAGTCGAAGAAGATTCTGCTCGGTTCAATCGCTTATTAATAGAAGACCTCGTTGGGGGAAATACACTGTATAGGAGGCTTTGGATTTTCGTCAATCATATTTGGATGCAAAGTCTATTCAGTCTATTCTTTTCATTGACAATCTATTGAGCATGCACAACTTCGTAAATATCTATCAACATTTTATTTTCCATTCCACGTCAGGCCAAATCTTCGGCCTTATCACAGTAAGCAGACATCAATGCTTTGTCAAGATACTCGATTGCGGAACAGTACCCTATTAGACTTAGAACAAGTAGCATCCAAGTCGCAAACGGAAACAGCCCTCCTCCGCCATATTGGTCTCAAAGTCGAAATTACGCACTGACAACGCTGTGTGATTTGAGAAAACAAGACAGCCATGGGACGTAAGAAGAAGAAGCAGATGAAGCCATGGTGCTGATATCCTTTTTCCTAACTCGTTGCTTTTGTATTTGTTTTTATTTTGTTTTTACGTGGGGGGGGACACTCACATGTTGATTGTCAGCGTCCCCGCGCAGGCTATCAACTGGCACTGGCAACACGACAGTACAGGTACAGGGAGTCGCTTGTCACGATGGTTGAACATTATAACACAACATTGGTATCGAATCGTAGAGTGTCGCCATCTGAAGTTCAAACATCACTAGGCTAAAAATGATAGAAAGAAATTGTGAGACTATAACTTCAAAAGTGTTGAAATGTATCAGTGACAATGGTCCTGAAAACTGAATGGTCAATGGCATGGGTACAAGTTGGAGTAGCGGAGTAGCGACAGTCTTGAAGCTCTGTCTAGTCTAGATCTAGGAATCTAGTAGTTCTGTTCTAGTTCTAGATCTAGATCCATGGAACCATGCCATGTCTATATTGTTGTTGCCTTTCAATTAAATATGCCATACATAAATTGTCAGTTTTCTTCATTTTTTTGACTGCTTTCATATTTGCTTCAAGACGAGATCTTTCCACTTTCAGTTTGAATTTCTGCCCAAAACTTAAAACTGAAACTGAATCATCCGGATGTCAGTTAATTGGATTTGGACGGCATTGTTTGTAATTGTTTCGAACTCAGATTTTAATTTTTAAGAATAGAAACAGAAAACTAGTGCTTTCAGACTTTAAAGATTAAATTCTCCCTGAGTTGACGATGGGAGGGAGCATCCAGTGAAACTCGCCTGGTCCCTGAGTGGATGGTTCCAGCATCTGAAGATTGCAGGAGGGTGCATGAAGTATTACAGCTAATAATTTACAATCTCTTAAAAAGGAAAGATTTATTTTTGACTCGGGAGTGTTAGAAAACTACTTCCTCTTTCACTTTGACACAGTTTTAACTGTTTAATAATATTTTGTCATCTCCCGTTATAATGTGTTTCACGAGATCTGAAAAAAATTCCATCAAATCGTGGAAGATAATTTGGGGGTTAAAAAGTTAACGTTAAATTAAAGGTAATAAGAAAACTGGTAAAACTACAACACATGCATTTTAGTTTTATATTATTCAGTTTTCTTTTTGGCACTGAACGTTTTTTTTTTGTAAGTTAAAGATAGGAAGCTTGCTGTGTTTTTGACACGAAAGCAAACCACGCAAGCTTGGTAGGAACCTCTCAATCTCATCAGTACCACTTTATCATCATCAGCGATTAAATTGCTGGCGATAACACTTGGAAATCATATATCACGTAAACAAATGATATGAAATGACTTGATAAATGTTACCTAAGCATTAGCTCAAGCTGTGTTTTCTTGCAAGATGTTATTGTTTGTTGGTTTGATACTTGATATTGAGAGTAGTAGGCGTTGTAATTGACATTACCGAAATCAATAGATCAGAGGATTAGGACTGGCAAAATGGTGAATGAAAGGAATCTTCGATGCAGTTGATGATGTTAGTAAGGGGAATTTCGATTGTGATCTAGACATCTCACTGGTTTGAGCAATGAATTGGTTCATCACTCATCACTTTGAAAATAGTCGTAACTTGATTGTTATAAAGTGGGAAAAGAAAGTTTCTTTTAAATTTTGGGGCTAATGTAATTTGTTATGGTACCGTAAACACTTTCTTGTTACTAAACTAAACTAATGTCCTTTTTGTGGTAAAAATTACCTGTTTTCTTATCTTTTTTCTTGTCAATATTGAGCTTTCGTTTGATTTTTGCAATTAACTTTAGGCCTCTTCTTTGTTGTGATATAATGGCAAATAATTTTTTTACACAAATTTGTGTGAAAGATATTTTCGAGTGTTTTGGTAACTCTCCTTGACCATTTTCAAGTATTGCAACAGAGAATTTGATGATGAGAAGATCTTGATTCAGCACCAAAAGGCAAAACATTTCAAATGTCACATTTGCTATAAAAAACTGTACACAGGACCTGGATTAGCAATTCATTGCATGCAGGTTTGTATTTTGCCACAGATTATGTCTATTGGATGGGGGGGGGGGGATTTATTTTGTTTGTGTTGGAAAAAATGCTTTGGATGGTATTTTTACTATATTATCGGGCGGCAGTCTCGTATCATTTTTGCTGTTGAAGTTTAAGGAATTGTCATGGAATATGATGTTCATCCAATTTTGAAAAGTAGTAGTTAAATGGAACTGTGTCAAGTCCATGTTTTCACGTATAAAGAGGAGACTGATTTCTGTCTTACGTAGAGTAGAGATTGTTTTAAGAAGTGGGTTTGTTGTTTTGCTTCATGTCTGTATAATTGTATGCCAGTGTTAATTTTTCGTGTACATTAACTATATTCGCTGGCACTAGTTTCTTCTGCCCTTGTAAATTTTGGAATTTTCAAGCTTAAATTTATATATTGAAGGGCATCACAGTGAAAAGTGGAACTAAACAAATTGTGAGCATGGGATATTCCCTGTTCAAGTTGTGTTAAGTGTTGCCAATGTGTAATTCAATGTTTTGACTATTTTAGTTGGAATGGAAAGTGTGAAAGTGAAAGTAAGATTGGTGAAGTTCCTCACAGTTATTAATATTTTCTGATCAGGTTCACAAGGAAAAGATTGACAAAGTTCCCAACAGTTTACCAGGTCGATGTAATACAGAGATTGAGATCTATGGAATGGAAGGAATACCAGAAGAAGATGTCAAAGCTCATGAAAAGAATAAAAGCAAGAAAGGTAAGTTGAAATGTCTTTTTGATTGCTTTTTGATTCACATGATTTTGTTGTTTCTTTAAAACTCTTCATCTGCATGCCGTTCATGAAAGAATGAAAGTATTTTCATTCAGAGTTTGCCTCTGACTTAGAAACATTTTAGCTGCTCTTTGCGTATTAATGGATTAAAAATGGCAGCACTGCTTTTTTCAGTGTGTTGATTGAAATGTGGGATAAAATAAAGAAAAGAAGGTTGGAGTGTGGTATCTGAATAATGAATGGTCTATTGTGTCTTTTCACAGCTCCATGTGTTCTACAACTACTGTCGCTCAGTGGGTTGTGACTTTGTTCTGGCCTTATTGAATTTGGTGGAATGTTTGATTTACTATTTTATCTTTATCTTTGCTTGATTATTACATTTTAGGTTTTTTTTTATACAGACAGGTTTTTATGCTATGTTTTTGGTCTTGCATATTGCATTAGTTAACTGTGGGGTCAGGCAGAGTTACTAATTTTTCTTGCCTCGGCGAGTTTGTATCTGGTCAGTTGTCTTTGTAATGAGCACTACGGTACGCATGTATGTCTGTCTCTGATGAATGTGTTCGTTGGTATTTCAGCCGCAGACATTGCCAACGAGGGTGACTCTGACGACAACAGTAACCCCCCTCCATCGGCGGCTGCTCCCATGATGAACGGCATGCCAGGAGCCACCGCCCAGCCAGGGATGCCGTTTGCTCCTCCGGGCATGAGGCCCATGGTGCCCGGTGGTCCCATGATGGGTCCCATGGGGGCGGGGGTACCCAATCCCATGATGCCCCAGGGAGGAATGGGGACTGTGCCCGGCCCTATGATGGGGGGAATGGGTAAGTTTTTTTCCTGTATTTTTCAATATTGGGTTGAATAAACTTGTAGTTGAGAAGGATAATGAGATGTGAGCCCTGGCCGGCCCCATAATGGAGGAGGAGAGGGTGGGGGTTGATGTGCATGTGATGTCTGATGGAATAGACTTCTAGTGCTCTGTGACAGTAGGACAGTGAGATCTGTGTCTGGTGCCATGGTGTGTGGGAAATTTGCTAGGTGTTTACTCTATCTGATGTCTGGTGGAAAAGTGTTCTGGTCTGCAGTGAAAACATATATTGATTGTAACGATCACCTTTGGTGCTGACTGAGTTTTGTAGATTTCTTTTTCTAAGCTTTGGGATGTGACTGGGGAATGCTGGTGTAGTGGTTTAGGTGTGGAACCATGATTAGCCTCCCTTTCTCTAATTATGTGTTTTGTAACAAAAGCGGTATTTTTCTGTTGTAAAAGAGGCTATATCTTGCTGTTTTTGATTGGGAGGGGGGGGGAGGGATGTATTCATCTGAAAGGAAAGAGGAATTTGTGCTTTTGAGCCTAGGTTTCAAAGCGAAGGAGTTTTTAATTTTTGTGTATGGTGATCAAAGACATATGCTGTTTGTCATCTTGTTGTGATTTGAAATTTGGGAGCACTCAGTAACTGAATTATTGGTAATTGAATTAGGAAAGGATGTGTTTAGCAAGTTGCTGTTTTGTACTATTTGTATGTGAATCAGTGTATGAAATGAAACTTAATTTCTCTCTTTTTCTTGCCTTTTCAGGTCCGATGGGCCCAATGGGGTAAGTTCTGATGGAAAATTTTTTTTCCTACAAACTGTTGATATTGTGATTATGTGTTATATTTTCTTTCCCTGTGTGGTTGGTAAAAGTTCTGATAGTGTTTCCTGGGCATAACCTTTGTATGATTTAGGATCCTGACAGTGTTTTGGCTATTGTAGGGCAGATGGGAACAAATCTTGTTGACAATGCATATAAGTCGTTGAGATGAATTTGTAAGGGTTCAGAATTATTTTCATCCTTTGTAGTGGGTGGGAGGGGGGGGGGTCTTGCAAGGGGACAAATTCTTTGCTTTTGATTGTAGTGTCTTGAGGAATGTTACATTGGGACTGAATGAATGTTGTACTTGCTCACTCACATAGCAGATCACATTGTCTAGGTGAACTCACCTTTTCTTGCCTGAAATGAAAGTACAGCAGAACCTGCTTGAACAGCCACCTGTATAAGACAATCACTTGAACAAATGACCATTTGCCTCCTTGTGCTTTAAAATTATTTTTTTTTACCATTATAATGACACTTGTGTATGACATCCTACTAAGAAAACCACTTGACAATGGGTGGCTGTCTTAGACAAACTGGACTGTACATTCGTCATACACTTGTGTGTCACAGATGTGTGTTAAACTGAGATTGTCTTGTTTCTCCCTCAGAATGGCGGGCAACATGGGACCGGTGAATCAACAGATGCGGCCGGGCATGGGCAATATGGGTCCCATGAACCCCATGAACATGTCCAGACCTCAGGGTCCTGGGGCCAGCAGGCCGCTCTTCCCTGCAGCAGCACAGGTAGGGGACAGCAGACAACAGCAAGAGTTTGTGGGGGGGGGGGGGGGGTGGGGGGCGGAATAACACGGGGAGGGGTGGGGGTGGAGAGAGGAGACAGCACACAGCATATTCAACTTCAAGCATCAGCAGAATAGAGGGAACATCTTACACCATTAGACCTCTTCATTGCCGCTCTAAAATCAATCAAGTAAGATTTTTAAGAAACCGTCGCTTAGACATTTAGTCGCACGCGACCGTTGCCTGCGATGGGTCCATGTAGCAATCGAGGGTCTTGTCGCGTGCGACAGACTGGGGGTGTAGCACGTTTAGAGCATCACCATTGGTCAAAATACCTAGCCAAGAGTGATGGTCGACACCCCGTGTGTGGTGTGGTGTGTGTGTGTGTGTGTGTGTGTGTTTATCTTTAATTGGACCCAATGTAAGTTTTGTGAATCTAATCTTGTTGTTTTGTATTTTTAACGGACAGCAGGAGGAGGAGGAGGAAGAAGAGGAGGAGGAGGACTTGCAAGGGATTGGCCTTGTATGGAATAAAAATGTCAGCAGCTTGTAGAACTCCCGTCTGACGGACTTTGTACTTCCTTGTCCATCTTGACATTAAAATTTGCCACTGTCTCTCTTCTGTAAATTGCCAGTCGCACGAGTCTAAACGTCGAGTCGTGCATAAGGAGACAGTTTTGTTGCACGTGGCTGAAAATTTTGGCATGATGTGATTGCGCATAAGGATACACACCTCACAACAGAACATCGCGTTGCGCACAAGGAGACATAGTCTTATGTGTCACTTGCTGAATTAAAAAAATATATGTTAAAAAAATTAGATGAGCTATGACAGAGTCTTATGCTTTACATTCGATATGCCGGTGGGTCCTACTCCCTGTCTTTCTTTCTGTTACTCTGTTGTTTCTGTTAGTTTGTCTCACTTTATGTGGGTACTAAATGGCTGTTTTCAGATTGATGTGCTTCTATTTATTCAAATCACATCTCTTTAGGTTTGTTTTTGTGTTCTGTTGAGGCGAGACTACTGCTAGCTCTTCATAGACAACAGCCTAATCACAACCTCCTCACATGTTCTTTTGTGGGTGGTTGGCAGGTGATCTGGTATGGTTGGCTCTTTCTTTCCGATCAAACATCTATCTTCCTGGTCTCTCCTCCTTCTTTTTTGTGTTTGTTACTCTCTTGTGACACCTCTAATCTTCTGCACTTATATTGCCTTATTGTGTTGAAAGTGCCGTAGAACTCTTACTAAAAAAACCCCCAAAACATCTATTGTCCTGATCTCTCTTCCTTTTTTGTGTTTGTTACTCTCTTGTGATACCTCTAGTCTTGTGCCCTTGTATGACCTTATTGTGTTGCAAGTGCTGTAAAACTTTTACTAACACTAAAACATATTCTTTTAACAGTCTAGCACTGCCACCTCCACGGCCGCGGGTGGCGGGCGACCCACATTCCCCGCGGCGGCCTCGGTGGTGTCCTCCAATAGTGGCGCCGGTGGTGGGGGTTCGGCCACCATCACGGGCGCCCCGACCATCAAGAAGCCCGAGTCTACCTCAGGTTTGACATCTAAGTTAGTGCACCCTGATGAGGACATTTCGCTGGTGAGTACCGCGGGGCTAGTGTCGCGTCTGTCTGTGTCCTCGTCTGGAGGTTACGTAACTAAAGGTTAGTCCTTGACCAAGGTTAGTTCCCGTCTCTCTGGCCTTCTTGTTTTGTACAATGTTATCGGATGAGCTGCACATACATGTGAGCACAGTGTAGAAATATCTTTTCGAGTGCAGATAATCCCTAGAAATTTCTACATACGCGCTGCTTTTTAAAGAATTAAAATTAAATATCTGTTTTTGTAGTTGTGATTTGCATACATGTTCTCAATTTTTTTTTTTTGGTAGATCTCACGGTTAATTCATCTGTCACAAAGCCCATTTTTAACACACTACAAAATTGCTTAATTACTTACTCTTTGCCTTTATATTTTTGGACTGATTCCTGTGTATGTTTATTTGAGCTGTGATCATTTTGACTGTGTGCATCACTTACCTTTGATTTTCATTAGTTGTTTTCCCCAAACAGTAAATTGGTGGATGAGCTTTCTTTAGTGTGTAGTACATGTGGATTCCCTGCGGTAAAATGTAAGTGAGAACTTTGCAACTTAAGACTTATCTTATTTCTCAAGTACTCGCGATCATGCATGTGACAATTTAACTTATGTACCCTACTAGTTGTTTTACTCTCTTGGCTTGCTTCTCGGAAATAATTCCTGACTGTGTAGAAAGTTGTATCGTGTTATAATGCACACATACTTTTGTGAGTTTGTAAGGTATCATGAAAACATTACTGTTTCTAAGTGTTGAATGGGGGTGTTAAACCTATGCCATTTCACACCATTTTTCAATACTGCGTTTTTATTAGTGAAGTTTTTCTACTGACATGGTTGTGGGGGGACTGGAGACGTTAAACTCTGTGTTGTGTTTGCTCTCAGCTGATGAATATTGCTCTCTTGCTTACCTCTATGCCTCTTTTCTTCACTGCCTCTTGCCTTCCTTCTCCTCATGTCAATTTTACATTATTGTTTTTATCCAGGTTTTTTTAAAGGATTTACTGTAGTAGTTTGTTTCATAAAGTCACCACTCTCGCAAGAAGCTGCTGGGAGTACATACTGAAATGTTGAATTATACATGTTGTCATAGATTGCAGATATCTCATGACATTTGTTTTATCAGAGGTTTGAGTTTGTAGGCCTCACCTACAGGTAGCCAGTGACTAGTCAGTGCACAGGTGTGAAAGCTAGTATCGTACTGCTTTCTTGTCCTGTTTTAAGCAAAGGTCCAGTAAGGCTGCTGTGAGATACAGCTGCCCTAAGTTTGAGCCCTTAGACTTGAGTGAGGTGGCTTTCCTCGTTGTAACCTGCGTGCCGTCTCCTTACAGGAAGAACTGCGGGCTAACTTGCCCAAGTACCAGCGCAACCTGATGGAGTCCATGATTGCCAGCTCAGGGATGGTGAACACTTCCATGGCACAAGGACCCCCTATGCAGGCCGGGGGCCCCCCTATGCAGGCTGGGGGTCCCCACATGCAGTCAGGGGGCCCTCCCATGCAGACGGGTGGCCCAATGAACATGGGTGGCATGGGCATGAATATGAATATGGGTATGGGCATGGGAGGTCCCGGTCCCAACATGATGCCAGGAGGTGAGTACTCTTTGTGTGTGTGTGTATGTGTTTCTTCTTGTGCGCGTACATGGGTGCGCTGTCAGTGTTTTGTTGGTGGGAGGTCGAAGCTGCTAGGAATTTGGTAACTGTAAGTATAAATATTTTCTGACAGTCATAACTTCACCATCAACTTTGGAAAAAAGTTTTTCTTGTTTAATTTTGAAGATATTGACAGTTCTGTTTTAGACAGCACATAGTTCAACTATATGTTGGTTGGAGGAAAGGAAAGAGTAATTCATGTTCACATATAGAACAGATTATTTTGTTTTATGCATAGGAAAATGGAGAGCTTGTTTGGTTCACTACAAATGTAGAGTAAGAAATGGATTTTTATCTACATCTTTAGATCGTTGAAATATAGTAATCTTTGTGTGTTGAAGCTTTTCATTTTTATTTGACTGTGTGACAAGAAAATTATTTACAGTAGCAACAGGTTGTCAGTAATTACATAAGGACTAACTTTTCTTTGGAAGTAAATGGAAAGGTTTAAGTACTTTAAAATTTTAGCTAGTTGAAACTAAAGGATTGTTATTTTGTGCTCCAAGGATGGAATTATGCAATAAGGTAGTTGGGACTGGGTCAACTCTCTGTGGTTTTTGGGTACTGTGCAGCATTGTCCAGTGGTTGGTTTTACATAGCTGCCAACCAGTATGTAAACGTATTTCATGAGCTTTTGAGGGTCAGACTACGGAGGTCTGTTTTTGTATCAGAAGATACATATTCTCTTTTTTTGTGTATTATTGCTCCTCAAGGACTTGCCGATTCTGAAGAGGTGTTTGTGAACTTTTAAGGCTGGATTTGCCGATAATAATGAGAACAATGAAGCCTGTAAATTAATCGGAGAGATCTTTTCTTAAAATTTCTGACATTATTGTTGCAGGTCTATTTTAAATAGGTTCATTTTATATTTTAAATATTGACTGCAGAAAAGTGTAAATGAAGGGGTGGGGATACTTGTCCCATGTTGACCTTCTGAAAAGAGTCTGTATTGTGGCTTTGAAAAGTTACCAGCAATGGTTCTAGCACTTGTGTAACTCATGCTCCCATGTTTGTTCTTGTGTGTCCCCAGGCATGATGGGAGGTCCCCCTCGGCCCGGCATGATGCCCGGCGGTCCCATGATGGGCAACAACATGATGCGAGGCCCACCGGGCAACATGGGAGGAATGGGCATGCCTGGGCACGGGCCTCGAGGGCCGCCCATGGGGGGTGGGATGGGCATGGGGATGGGCATGAGGCCCATGAATGGGATGCCGTTCCAGGGGAACATGAACATGAGAGGGCCCGGGCCGGGACCGCGGCCCTTCAACTAAACTACTTGTTGATGGTGGTACGAGGCATCTAGGCCACAAAGAAAGGAGAAATGAAAAGGCATTGCTGTGAAGTAAGATGAGGCAGAATTGTGTCATCTGCCAAATGAAGGAAAATTGATTTGAGCTGGGAAAGAAATTGAAGTTTATGAAGTCGACCGCTTTTTCTGAAAAGAAATTTGTAATCTTGATCCTAGACTGCTCTGTAGGGCAGGGGCAGCCAAGTACTTTTTTTACCACAACAATTAGACTATGTGTTGATGTATAATGTATATATATATATGTTGTTGTTATCATCATGAATTGGCATACCTCCCCACCACCTCCTTCTCTCTTCTCATTTTTGTATCTCATGATTTTAATGATACTTTGTCACCTTTTAAATCTGATGTTGGCAGCTTCATTGAACAGAGTTGGTACCATTGTTGATAGAAACGTGTAAATGTCCTGTTGGAGAGACCTTTGACCCATCTCTTGTAGTGGAACGCACTTTTGTTGAATGTTTCAAAGCTCAAAAGAATTGTTTTTGTTTTTTTTCTCTTTTTGTTTGTTTATTTTAAATCTCTCTTGCTTACATGTATAAAAAGAAAGAATGAGTGAAGATGGATTGTATGCTTCTGTACATATGGATGGTCTCTTCAGTTGCCAAGTAAGTGCTGGGATTTCTTCATTTTGTCCATTTTTTAAAAATTAGGGAGGCTTGTTTTATTTTTTAAGTTTTTTTTTTTCAAAGGCAACTCTGATGGACGCAATAGAAAGTTTTAACATGTGGATTTTCTAATGTTTGGGAGATTGTACATATCTATTTTGCTCTGAGGCGGGATGGACGGTAAGCTGCATGAGAGAGAGAGAGAGAGAGAGAGAGAGAGAGAGAGAGAGAGAGAGAGAGAGAGAGAGAGAGAGAGAGAGAGAGAGAGAGAGAGATTTGTGTGTATGTGTGTGTGTCAAGCCTTGGTTTAGATCATGTGTATTCCTTGTTTATTGACACGAGAGACTGAAGTGTGTGTGTGTGAGTGTGTCAGGCCAAAGGTTAGTCGTATGTACCTGGTTTGCTGTGGTTGAGGGTTTTGTTGCCGGGTGCTCTCAATGGACGTTGTTTCAAAGGTTGGTGCTCTCTCTCGCTCTCTCTCTCCCCTCTTGATGTTCTCACATTGTGGTTTATTCCCGTCGCTGCCGTGTCCCAAATGTCCCACGCTTTGATTGGCCTCATCACAGCTAGCTGCTGGCTGTTGGGCAGCGCTGTTGCCCCCAACGCAATTGTTGGCGATGAGAGCCGTTGACGTGTCGTGTGGGGTTACGGTGTGCATAATGTGTGTGTGTTGTTGGCTTGGTTTTGTGGACTTGTTTTTGATCTCAAGTGAGGGGAAGAAGTTGTCACAGCCGCTGTGCTGTTGGGCCTCTGGGCTCCCACCCGGCACCGTGAACATTGGACTTTTTTAAAACACGTTATTACGGATAGGTTGACCGTTTTCTACCGGAACGAACAGTCTTTTAGGGTAAGCACTGTGGGTTTTGTGAAAAACTGGAAATGTTAACCGTAATGATATAGTGCAGCTACCCATGAAAATAAAAAAGATATGAGTGGCCAGGATGATGGGGAATATGGGGGGAGTGTAGCCTAGTCTGCGGCGATGATGCGTTTAGATACCCGTAATTAGCTTTGGATACATGATTGGGTGTTGAGTGTGCCTCGGCTGTCCAGGATACAAGGTTAGACATGTCTCACAATTTCATCTTTCACCGTACCATCGCTATTTTCACTCCTGGTGATGACCCATTGCACTGGTTTTCCTGTTATGCACTATCATTGTTGTAGCCTCTTTTGGACTTGATTGATACTTTTTTGACTTTTTCAAATGAAATAGAAGACATTTGTGTATTTGAAAAAAAATCAGTTTTGCTCGTAAGCTGCATTGGGCCCTCATATAAATTTGATAATTCAAATAATAATTTTGTTCCTTGTTTAGTTTACTTTCTTTTTGAGATATTAAAAATAGTGATTCTTTTTTATCAGATTCGTGTTTTTCAGTTTTCAGGCGTAAGAAATCGGTGCCATTGAGACAATGTACAATGCGTGGTAGGGACCACATCCTTTGAATTCAGTTACACTGCCAAGTAAGTTCCCCGATGAGAGAAGCATAGGTGTTATGCTAATGTCGTTAACATGTTTGTAAGTTATAGATGGATGTAGTCGTGGATTTGGGAGATTTTGTATTGGAAACTGCTGGAGGTAAGTGGGGGAAAAAGTAAAAGGTGAGTCGAATGGATAATGATTAATTATCAGAGTTTTTCATGATTCTTTGCTTATGGTGAGGTCAAGTGAAAGTTCACGGTGCTGTGGTTGGTGACATCTTTTCCTTTGAGTTTGAATTGTGAGCACACATGGTTGGCATCACGTCATGTACCGTAGTAGTCGTTGGAGGAAGTTGTCTCCTTTCCCCGTGTCACAGCGAGAGTTTTGTTGTCTCGCTGTTGGGCACATGTCGGCCCCCACCGGTGGTGGTGACACGGGTGCTAGATGGTCTGTGCCGACTCGGTGCTGGGTGGTGTGTGTGCTGACTCAGTGCTGGGTGGTACGTACAGGTCTTGTATTCTGACTCCTGACATTGACAGACAGTAGTGGTGAAGGCGTTGAGCATTAGGCCCTGACATTTTATGCTGAGAGAGAGATGATATATTGTGTGCTGTGACCCAATAGGTCTACAGCTTTGTTTAATTTGATTTTTTCTTTTTGGTCGGAAGCGAGTGTCACAGCAAATCTTTTCTCTGCTGTTGGGTGATCTATCACACGCTACAAACACAGCGCTGCTGTTGTTGTTTCTTTGACTGGTGCACACATCTCTTGGATGGTGGCCCTCCCCCTTGCTGGTGTTCTCCGGGAATGTAGAACTAGAACTAACTGCGGAAAAGACGGGGTGTGTACCAGGGCATGCTCATATGTTTGTACTGTGTGGTTCTGGCACCCCCACATTGGATGGCGACACTCGTTACCTCAGATATACAGAGATAATAAACGTGTAGATAGATAGGTCTATAGATTTACCATGGCCCGCCCCCCAGACAAACCTCATATAATATATGTAACAGTAACACTTGAATGTTGGTTTCTGGACAGCTAGCTACCATTCCTATAACGTGGATGTGATACTAATGCAGTCTTTAGAGTAGTAGGCGTGCGTGTATGTGTTTTGTGGTTGAGGTGGCTGCATACTACTGTGGTACTAAATCCATGGTCTTTTGTTTTCTCTCTCTCTTTCCTCTGATGTGTCTGCGAGGCCCCGCGGCATGGTTTGCTATAAAAGGGGACCGTGTGGCTTGACAAGTCCCTCTAGATCTGTGTGTGGTGAGTACCACTGGCGGTAGGTGGTCTCTACTTTCTTTTTGGATACTCTTAACTAAACACACGCCATTTGATTATCAAATCTACATTTTTTTCAATATTTTTCCCTCCCACACCACATTCTTTTTTTTTTCTTCATGCGTTCTTCTCATGTTTCAGAGTTTTCATATTGTAGAGATGGTGTTATTTTTCAGCGTATTGCTACATTTTTTGCTCTCTCCCATTTTCGTTTTTCATTCTTGTGTTTTAATGAAATAGATTGTTAATATCTTGCTGCCCCGGAGCCTATTTCATGGAGCGTATGTAGTGAATGTGAAGGGAAGGGAAGGGAGATTTACGGAGTCTTGTGAAAGGGTTGGAACAGTTTTGAGACCCATGAATAAGGCACTGTAACTTACAATTTGTATGTTGTGTATTTGGCCTGATGAAGTGGAGTGACTGCAATAAAAATATGAAAAACTATCCCTGGTGATTGCTCATGTTTGTATTATTTGCCGTGTTTTTTTGTGTTTGTGTGCGTGCTGCCATTAATGAGTAAGTGTGGTGCAGGGTGCTTTTTTTTTCTATTATGTTGTACCCTGGTACTTGTAGTACATGCATGATGCAAGTGGTTGGAGAGCTCCTAGATTATTTATTTTTCTCTTGCTTTTTTCCCATTTCACTTCATACTACATGTGCTGTTAAACTTCTTTTTACTATTTAGTCATGGGAACAAAAGAACAGAAGTACTTGTGGTGACTAGTTGCGACTTATCTTTACCTTCTCCTGTGTGGGTGGTTGGCGGCTGCTGCTCCTTTCCTCTGTCAAAACATACATGTACTTGTATTTTCATTATCTCTCCTCCTGTTCCTTGTATGTTACTCGAGCGACTCTACTAATTTTCGGCGTTTGTATGCTGTGTGCAACTTAATTAAGTACGTCATTTACCTCCTGTGCTTGCGTTGTGTACAGATTTAATTAATGCCCCTTTCAACATTGTAATCTGTTATTTAAGAGGTGGGTCCTTTAGTCCATGGTCTTTAGTAGGACCAAGCCAAATAGGCAGAGAGCCTCAAAACCTCTTTAAAACATCCAAGTTCAAGAGCACCCAGCCCGTAGAGGATTCGAACCAGGGCCATCTGCTTTGTAGTCCTGCACGATACCAAATGAGCTGGAAGCATTTTGTGTGCCAAGTTGAAAAAATACCATTGTTGAACGTTTCAGTGTACACCGCCAATATTCGTTGCATAGATATACAATTTAATAGATGTGGACACACACGGGTGGTTTGGAAGGGAGAGAGCACTTGCAACAGCAGTCGTGGTTGGTTGGCGGGTGCTCTAGTGTGGTTTGCTCCTTCTTTCCTGTCAAATATCTATCGTCCTGATCTCTCCTCCATGTTTGTGTAAGTTACTCTCTTGTAACACCTCTAATCTTCAGCATTTGAATGACCTTATTGTGTTGCAAGTGCTGTAAAACTCTTGCTAAAACTAAACAACAGCAGTCACAGGAGTCAGGAAGGCACAGAAAAAGTGACACAGACAGATGAATGAAACGCTAGAGTCTGTGGTTTAGTACCTAAAGTGCCAAATGAATCAACTACACCCATATAGGCTACATGTACTTGAACCACTTGAATGAGAACAGGAAGTCAGCGTGTGGGATCTTTTACCTCCATCCATGGAATAACAAAAGCTAGCTAGGATTGTTGCGAACAGACGAACCGAACACTACAGGATGTACAACCCATGCACAGACAAGAATAAATTGTTAAAAAATAATAAATAGCATTATCTGTAGTGCATATTCCACTCCCCACTCAGATTATAAAGCACATTGAGCTTAATGTTGAGTGGGATGCTTACAGTGCAAGCATCTGATTACCAGCTTGGAGACCAAGAAACGCAATCTTTTGATGTCTATAGTCTAAAGCTGGGTAACTATTCTCACTGGGTGAAGTGAGGAAAATTGTGAAGTGCCTTTCCCAAGGATAAACATGAGGCCCCCAGACTTAGTTCGAATCCAAGATCTTTTGGTTATGAGCCCAACAGTTCAACCCTATCAGTACGTCTTGTTTTACATCGTATCCATACGATGTGGGGAACTCTGTGCCACCACTTTCACAATCACAAGATATTTACTCATTAATCCGATCGGTACGCTTTGCATAGCTGTCTGTCAAAATGATTTTTTGAGAAATACTGAAAGTTTCAAAGAGATCTTCGTACTAGAAGTAGAAGTATTCTAAAACGAAGAATACAACACTGGGGGTACAAAATGACCCCAGGGCATATGGATAGGGTTAACCACTAAACAGTTCAATTCATCGTACATGTACACATGCAGTTGTTGCACTTTCCCTTCTCTTCTACTTTCCGAGGTTAGGCAGGATTAAAACTAAGAAACTTGCTATTTTGGCTAAGGATGGGGTACTGTGAGCTTGTTGTCCATTTAAAATTTAACTTCATTCTTTGACATATCGACAGGCCGAAGGGCTGGAACCCAGATGGCCGCTGGATCGGAAAAGTAAAGTCCATTTAACTTTAACTTGTTAGCATTGTGGTGCAGCTGTGCAAGGCCCTTCGCCATCGCACGCAAAAGACAAGAGTTCACATCTTGTGGAACATATAACTGGACAGTGGATAGTACACAAGTAGAAGAATAGAAGATGTTTTTTGTTTTTAGTAAGCGTTTTATGGCACTTGCAACACAATTAGGTCATAAAAGTGCTGAAGATTAGAGTAAAGAGGTTTCCCAAGAGAGTAACAAGCACAAAAAAGGAGGAGAGATCAGGACAACAAATGCTTGATTTTGACGGATAGTGAAGGAGAGAGCAAACCACACCAGTAGAACACCTGCCAACCAGAAATTGTTGTATTAAAAATGTAACAAGTCGACCCGAGTCTACAGGACCCGTACTTTGGGCTGCTTTGGCTTGACTGCTCGATTTACACCACAGCACACTGAGGCTTGGGGTATGCGCTTAGAATAGAAGGGTAAACTTTACGCAGTCACACTTGGGTTCATAAGGGGAATACACTCACAAGTCATCACTGTGTGAGTTTCCCCATATTATACTATATATCTCTTCTGGACTTTTCTTTTCCTAATCTCAATTTTCTGCTCCTGCTTTCGAATCCTTCCTTTCCAGCTAAAGGCTCTGCAGAGTATACGATGACCTAATGGTGTTGTTAGCGCTGTAAAATTGTAACTGAACCAAGCTTACCCCATGACTTTGTGGGCCAGAAAATACAGTAGTCTACTGACGCCACTATACACAACCGTTTACCAACACAGTGTGTCTACCCAGGTGTACCCTACTAACACAGACAACCTTTCACTTTGTACGAAAATAAGAGTGTTTTCTGCTCCTGCCAGTTTGGATGGCCACTGTTCAATCCTATTTCAGATCCATTTCCCCCCTTAATTCAAGCTTCTATAAAACAAATTCACTGAACCACAGGAATGACTTCACCTCGCACCTCCTAACGGGACAGGAAGGTGCTGTAGACCCTTGATAGTGACAGACATGAGTGTTTATAGCTCAAGTCTATTGATCTTCCCTCATTACTTCCACCACGACTTTTCCAGATAACTTGCAGAAGGCAGACCGAAAAACAGATAAGATTAGACAAATGATAGAGCAAAATTGAAAGAGTTCCAGTAAGAGACAGAAAAGAAAGAGAAAGAGGCATAGTTTGGACACTAAAAACTTGAGCCAATGAACAGGCTAGAACTAAGTGCTAATGCTAGTAGAGTTGTAACAATAACAGAAATAAAAAAACAAAGAAAACCCGAAAGGCAGAGTTGTGAAACATTTGAAAAGTGTGTATATATATATCATATGTATTCTCCATGCACATGAAGACAAGATGATGAAAGCGAAACCTGTCTGACAAAGCCAGCAAATTCTTGCATAATAGAACTAGAAGTTAGTTCAGTAAGATGGTGGCTGCCTTACAAAATGCGGGGACACCTGCCTCTATAGATCCTGCTCTGTCCGACACTTTCTATTTGCAGCCAGAAAAGTGTTTGAGCTAGCTCGACATGTTGAACAGCAACATTGTTTTAAAAATCCCCCCCAAAAACCCCAAATTAAAACACACAATAGTAGAACTGAACCAAAAAGCAGCAATTTTCAAAAGGCAACACTAACACGGACATGATGTGTTTTCAATCCACATGGGCTCACAAGCAAAAGCAAAGACAAAATGCGTATTGGGTAAGGTTTTTTTTTTGTTTGTTTCGTTTAATGGTCAGACCCAGAGACTGGGAATGCAAAAACTGCTGCACAATTTGTGAAGGGAAAAGTCAAGCCAGGCTTGAGGGGAGAGAAGCAGCACAGCACAGTTGACAGTACAAGAAACAGCAGTGAGAAAAGACAGCATTATAATTATAGTATAGATATATATAGTCAATGATTATGTCAAAACAGCCAAGCTCAATATTATGTTTCTTTCATGAAGGAAGGGGGAAGGGGAAGGGGGGAAAAAAAAAAAAAAAAAGCAGCTTTGTACCTGATGAGTTTTAAACTAGTCTTACCTTAAAGATTATGTTGAGAAATCAGAGTAGAAAAAAGGCACGTCCGTACAAAAATAGGCTATGTGCAGCTGTAACATAGCTGTAAAAACATGATAGCAGATAAAAGCAGTGGAAAATGAGAACAAAAGTGACGTACAGGAGATTATTGAATTGACCAGAGGAAAATGATAGTGAAGATATGACCACCATGCTGAAGCCCTTTCTCTACATGGTGAATGGGCCAGTGGTCAGAAGGTCTACAGCTGAAACATGAGAGAAGGACCGAACACGGTGCCTTCACGGCACACGATCGACGTAATGGGACAGCACAACACGCGCTAGCTCCAACACACCAGAACAATCTTGCTAGTAAATTTACAGAAGGATTTTTTTTTTTCTAATAAAAAACAGCCACAGTTTTTTTGTGCCATTTGTCAAAGTTTGTAAAGCGGAAATAACTTTAAAAATCTAGCATACTTAAGACAGTCTGATTCTTCCCTACGAGGATTTAAGGAGACCAAACATTCGAAACAAAAACTGGAATGCACCTTTGTTCTATTGTTAATATCAATGAAATGTGAAGTTCACAAGGAACATCAGGTCTTGCAGTTGAAATGCCAGAGCAGTCTCTCGGCCATCTCCAGGACCATTTTGTTGTCAGGACAAGATAATGGTGCACAATAAGAAGGGGATAAATTAAAACTAGAGCCCTGGTTTCTCAGTAGACTGACCTACACGACATACTTCATGACTTCATGTGTACTGCTATCAACTCAATTCTTCTTGGTTTGCTGTAGGAAAAAACCCCTAACAAAACAAACCCCAAACCAAACACACACGCAAATCCTACCACTACCAGCCAAACGCTGTGATCTCACTCACATTGCAGTTGAAACGTGCATTTCCCGACAACATACCTTTACACAACCCTCCATCTGTTTGCCTTAGTTTTTTTTCTTTACAAAACACATGACACGTATACCAAAACTTTGTACAAAACTAAACCTACAACAAGATGCCTCCCAGAACTCACACACTGAGAGCAATGTCGGATATGTTGAGATGGTGTGCAAAATATGCATCGTAAATCCCCATATGAAAAGAAAATAAATTCTATATATATTTGAAGAAAACACTGACAGTATAGCAACAAAGGCGCCTTCACAAGAAAATCTCTGAATTAATCTCGAGCTGGATTCTTTTGATGGCTGTATGCACATATTGGTCATCAAGACTGCACATAGAAAACCATGAAGACAGCAAAATACATGACTAAAAAAAAACTTTTCTCAAGAAAGCTGAAACTGAAATGGGGAAAAAAACCAAACCCCAATTTAAAAAAAACAACCCATGTGCACAGCGTTTGAGTGCAGGAAAACTGAACATTTCAATGTTTCCAACCTAATTGGCACAAAGTATATTATGACATGACATGTATTATCAGGTACAGACTTTTTGCACAAACAGTTACAAAAGATGTACAGAATTCTGGCCTCAGCAAACACACAAATCACACTGACTCATGCTGCAGCCTACATTTAGGTCAACTGGAACAAAATTGAGTAGCAAAAACCAACACAAATGTGTTTCTAATTTCATCAATACACCACTATAAAAAACCCCCCCAAAAAACCAAACAACATGTATAAAATATAAAAACTAAGTTACAAATCTGTAGGTGTATATCAATCATACGGTGAGAGGGGCTCAGAGACTAGACCACTTTTGTACCATTTCTCATGAAAAAATGAAGACACGTAAATCTATTGGCCCAAAATGATAAAAATGCTGAATGGCTTTGTACTATTGTGTAGGGGCTTTCAAAGACTGAGGAAGCTCATTACAAAGACGGTTTTAAAAGAAAACACATAAAAAAAACGTCACAAAACGACAACAATTAGAACAAAAAAACAAGTAACCTTTGTACATGAAAGCAATGCTCTAGCTAGTGGACAAGAGGTGCGATCACCAGTCTTTCTTGACAGCGAGGTGCCACTCCCATGTCACATATTCGTTTTGGTCATCGTCCACAAATCTTGACTTGATTTTGTAATCTCCTCTCATGAGAAGACCAGAAGGGGCGTCCTCTGTTTGCGTAGTGAAGGACTGGAGTTCAGTCTTTGGCCCATAGCTTCCCATCATCTGCTTCATCTTGTCCACTGTCACAAAGGAAAAAAAAAGTTTGTTCTAGTAAGGTTTTGTGGAACATGCAACTGCATAAGGTCAAAAGAGCGCCAAGGGGTGGATGTCAACAAAGAAGCCTAAACGGGGAATCGGGCTTACTCTGCTCACCTCTCTAGCCTCAACAGCACACAGTCTGCTTCGACTATAAAGGCACCTCGAAAAAAAAGCAATTAAAAAGAGAGTGACAAACAAAAACAAAAAAAAGTAAAGAAAAAATGACGATAGTGAGGATGAGGAAAGAAAAACCAGCAGTTCCCCCTATGTAGTTCCAGCACAGTATGAGCATGGCATTGATAAATCAGCCCATTTACAATTCTACTGTGCATAAGAACATGTTAATATCTTCCCTTTGGGAATGGCCTAAGACAAAAAAACAAACAGAATGGGGGTATGAATTAATAAATGGAAACAAAACAAAAAAAAAAAAAAAACCTAACAAAAAATCTTTTTTTTTCTTGTATGTAAAGCAAAGCGACCAGAGGCTGTGCTTTTTAATCAGGATGGAGTGCTATAACTATAAAAATATCATACTATTATAAAACATGAACAAAAATATGAGAAAAAAACAAACACAAACTGTCAATTGCCACTCCACTCTCAGGGATTTCTGCCACGAACTTCTTGTACTTCAAACTATAACTTCCTTACAGATCGGGCTACAGAGACAATGACAATTTTTATTCATCTCACAAGGAGAAATTTTTGTCTTTGTCATTTACAATGGCAGTGGATGTTACAAAGGTATGGTGCACTCACGCATACACACAAGAAGACAGGACATTAGTAACTACATGTTTTATGCGCTGAAAAAACTCCACTCCGTGAAATGTAAAACATGCTCTGTTTCTCTTGGGTTCAGGTTCAGCAATGTTGAGAAGATCACATACCCCACATCAAAATACACGTGTCCGTGGAAACAGGACATAGTGTTCTGGGGTGCATAGCAAAAGGGCAAGGTATCCATGCTAAGAATCCTCGACCTAAAAACATGACACTACTATAAATAGGCATGGAATTCCGGGATACAATTTTTAACACACTACAAGTGCGATGTCTGTATCACTAGACACAACTGCTGACACACCACAAATATAACACAACAGGCTTGAAACCCTCAGCGGCAAAAATATGGACTGTTTTTTTTTTATAAAGTCATTTTAAAAAAAAGGGAAAATAAAATTCAGCTGAAAAATTGCTGGAATCTAGGCAATTGTTGGAGAACACACAGATCTTTTTGGTACTTACCTGAGATGCCTTTCCTGTAGACTTTGTGCTCATATCGCAGACCCGACACAATTTCTCTCTGCACGTAGAAGTAGATCTTGATCTGGTACTTGCAGCCTTCTTTCAGAGTAAAACACTCTTTCTTGATTTCATCTTCAGGTCCTGAGGAACAAAAACGTAAACATAGTTACCAAAGTAGCATACAAATTGTGAACATTATTTCTTAAAAGGTTATTTAAAAAACTCAAAAGTCATTAGATTTTCTATCAAGCTGAGTGCATACATTGAGAATTGACATCATCACAATATCTCAAACAAACCAAAAAAAGCCAAGCTGAAATCTAACTAGTGTCTTAGCTGAGAAAGAACAATTAATTTTAATGTCATACAAGTCAACTATTTCATTTTGATTGTTCAGAAGGAAAAAAACCCCCCTCATATACCGTTGACAGAACTATTAAAACTTTCCTTTATGGTACAAGAAAGGCTACATTAAATCTTATACTACAGTATAACAGGCACAGGTCGAACACAGAAGACTCGAAATCATGCATCCGTCGAACTGTGCAAGCGGTTCCGTTTTCCCCCCTTGTTTTCATTGTTCATATATTCCTTGAACTACAGAGGCTGGTCCCGACGAATTCGAGCTATCCATGTTATACTGTATTTACTTCTTGGTTCATTACTACCGTTCCTGATTTTAACAATACATTTTTCCAGAGAACAGAAAATATCACCAATATAACTGAAATTATCCCCCCCCCCCAACAAAAATCAATGAACAACGAACTGTAATTAACCTGGTGGAAAGATTACAGCAAATATTTCATTTTTCAAAAGTCTGCAAGATGTAACACTTGAGCTACATACTTGTGAGGTCAATGAAGATTTCGTCCCTTCCTTCTGCAAGCAGAGACAGCTTCTGGACAATGACCTTCTTTTCGTTGTTCGGATCTGGAGAATAGAGAGGAAAAAAAGTGAGAAGAAAATAAATGCAATAGGACTCTATTAGCATATAAGGAAGTCTTGAAACAAAGACATAGTACCTTATAAGGATATAATCTGGGTGCAACACAATTTTCAGAAAATATAAAGTTTACAGGCTTATAAATCTTTAAAAAATGTCAGCTGTGAATTACATCATGGGTACATTGAAAAACTGTTCACATAGTATTTTCTTTGAAAACCCAGATTCTCTATCTGGCACTTATATACTGGCTATCAAAAGAAAGGTAGGCCTACCACTTTTTGATTGAGTAAAAAATCTAGTCTTTTAAGCCTTTACACTTCATCTTTCATAGGATAGTACAACGTACTCTGAACAGTAGGTAATGTAAAGAAAAAAAGTAAAATTTTTGTGCTTCATGTGCTTCATAATGTGTTCACAGCACCACTATGAACCCCCCCCCCCAGAACATTCAGATTTTTTTCCCTACCACCTGGCAGGTTTTTTTTTTATTCTTTGATTTTTATGAAGTTTAAGTCTGCGTTTATGTAACCCTTGATCATTCAACGTCAGCAGAAGGACTATATTCCAACTAAGAAAACAGCACGTTGAGACCTGGTCTATTCAAAACCGAGCCAGACCTGGCCGTCCAAGCATAAAGTAGGTAAGATCTAACACCTAGCTTTCTCAGACAAAGGCGAAAAGTCTTGGAGGACCCCTATGCAAGTTGCCAACGTTAAAGTTAAAGATCCCTGGGTGGTCCTAGGATTGATGAGTAGGTTTCAGCCAAAACCAGGGCAAAAATTAAAATCTATTCCTATCAAAATTGAAAATACTCTAGTAAGTATTAAAATATATATATATATATTAGGTAGTGTACACATGGCCTCACCGCCTTCCGAGCTCGTGGTTTCGGTGAAATCGGGATAAATCAGATTGCTGTTTCTTTGCTCTTTCGTTATAAAACATCAAATGCTATAAACACCTTGTAAAAGTGCAGCTTTTCCTCGTTACAATGGTGTAAGTTGTTTATATATCCCATTATTTGGAGCTGAAGAATCGCAATGGAAAGCGAAGCCCCTCGCGGTCAGCTGGTTAAAAAATGTACATGCATGCATTCAAATGCTTTGCTGAGAGATTGATAATTAAATACCGTCTTTTTATTGGCGGAGAACTGTAGAGCTTTGAAAGGGCTTCCCAATGGTATATTTTTGGCCTTTGGCGTTTAAATACAAGGCCTTTAAAAACACCGTTCAAGTTTTCAAAGATCATTTTTAAAAACGAAATATGTAAAATACCGGCTCAAAAAAGGTACCAATAGAAAGAGTAGTTCATTTTCTATTAGAATAAAGCAATCGGCTTGGAATTATTTTGCATCAGTCCATCCGCAAAACTCGGAAAGTATGTGACCCCCCCACTTAGTACACTAAAGTACACTACAGCGTACGAGACGACTCCCTCGCCGCAGGGGCCGGTGCGGCATAGGCCGGGATAGCACTCGGTGTTTTTATCTAAATAAAGACAGATTATCGTGTTTGAGGTTAAAAAAGTACTGATTTGTAATGATCTGACAGTCTTGAAAAAAATTAGGCTCCATATCTATGTTATAGTTATTGTACTCTGTTAATGTGAATGTTTGGTGAATTTAGTACTCTTTCATTATCTGTCAAACCTGGGATTGCAGCCAGTTAGCGACTTAAGCAATAGGTGATCATATTTAACTCATTCGCTACGTATTATTTTCGGCTTGTGGATGAATTTTTTTTGGGAGAGCGAAAGAGATGATGGCTAGTGGGCAGTTAAAAGGTCTTTGGGGCCACAAATTCAAATAAATATCAACGTATTATATACCAATATTTTCAGTATGGTTTGTAGAATACATCTGTAATGTTTATTTATGTATTTTTCAACTTTGGTTCCTGTAAGAGACGATTATGCAACACAGTTTTGATTGGATGCGGATAAAATTTGGAAATAAAAAATTTATAATCTTTTAGTGAAACTCAAAAAATATGTTTGCACCTAGTCAAATGATACATCAAAATAACCATAAATGAGTATAGAACTGGAAAATATTGAAAAGTTTGCATTTAATTACCTACATTCCATAATATTTGTTGTACATTTTGAACATAACATCCGATATTGAAAAAATTTTTTTATAATCTTCAAAAATGATCACAAACAGAAAAATACCCGCTCGTATCTTATACTTATATGGAATTATTCAGAATTGCATTTGGAATACACCTATACATGTCTTGAGTGGCACTTTTTGTGTAATTTCATAAAAAAAGTAGTGATTTTGGGGAGAAAAAAATATTTTGACTATTTAGATCTAGATCTAGACCTAGATCTAGCACTCAAAAATATTGATTTCTCAATAACAGTGTATTGGCAATATGAGTCCAATCGTATCAATATTATAAAAAAGAGTCCTACACTTCTTTAGTGGGCAAAATAATGATAGATTTTGTTGTGTAAAATTACAAAAACTGGTGTCCGGGCTATAATTTTGGCATCGCGATAAAACAAAGTAAGATAAACTACGAAATCGCGTTTCAAAACTGAATCTAAATTTCCGATTTTCAGTGGAAATGCTTGACCCGGAAGTCAACATTATATTATGACCTTTATTTTAACATGGATATGTGGATTGGAATAGAATTTAAACTAAAATTGAAGATCGGTTCTCGCGCCGCCGGGGGCAGCTTAGCCTACTGACGGCACTTTAGCCGCGCCGCCCCCACGGCTCGGCGTAGCGAATGAGTTAAAAAGCTACCATTTTCTTAAAAATTGACTGAGGGGTTAAAGAATGGTATAAAAATTCACAGAAGATAGGCCTTTCATATACGGAACAGATAAATTTGGCATACACAGCTGCTTTGAAAATTTAGTTTCTGGTACCTATAATATACACACAGTACCTTTGAAAGCAGAATGTGGCTTCCTGAAGGCAAGGGACCCTACAGAGTAGGAAAAACGTTCACATACGTAAAAATCAGTTGCAATACAGCTTGAAGAACCTGCAGTCGAATAACCCCCAGCTTTATCAGGGGGAACAGAAAGAATAAGATACGTTGGAAACACAACTGACCTACAATGACATTCCCAGCCAGTCCACCACCAAGCAGCGCTTCCTTATATTTTCTAAGGCTCTCATCCTCAGCATCTGCGCTGACGATTTCATCTAGGGCTTTGGGTGCAGGTGGTTTGTAGTTGGGGTTCTCTTCTTCCTCCTCACCCTGCACTTCTGGGGCTACCTGTTCTTGTTCAGCCATCTGCAAGAACAAACAAGACATAATTATTGACAGCTGTGCGACACCAGCGCTGCTGCATGAAGCGGAGACACTAGACACAGAAAAAGCACTAGGAGAATCTAGGCATTCATTAACACGTGTCTTCGGATTCTTTTTCTAGTTATGGTAGTAAGAGTTTTAAGGCACTTGCACCACAATAAGGGCTGTAAGATTAGAGGTGTTACAAGAGAGTAACAGACAGAAAATATGCTGGGTAGACACCATCAGCAACCTAGAACTCTGGCAGACATCACACCAGCAACCTTTGGAAGAAGTAATCCTGAGAGACAACGGAGACAGATAAGTCATACTCTGAAAGCCAACAGAAACTATCACAAACAAGGCAAGCTTTAAACTGGAATCTGCAAATGCAAAGGGAAAAAGAAGCCAAGACGACCAAAGAACACAGGGCGATGAGAGGTATTTGAGCTGCAAGCCGAGCTGTATCTTAGTCAACATCAGACATTTTGTTTCGAGGGGGGGCACTAGACTAGAGACTAGAGGCTGCTTTTCTCCTTTTATAAATTATGATAATGACAAATCCAACTAAACATTAGGCTAACAAAATGATGATAATCTAGCTGATGGAATAATATTCATTATACAAGCCTCAGTTCAGGCCACAGACAAATAAGCAATGACATTAGGCCTAGATCTATTATATAATGCCTCCTAAGTGACATCACTGAATCTCCCCCTTGACTCACACTCAAAGAAAGTAGCCAAGTTTAACCCTCCATCAACCAAACTGTAAACAATGTTCATATCCAAGACAACAACATAACAATCATAATAAAATAAACCTACAGCTGCTTCGACTTTATGGATTATACTGCAATACTAAAGCCTCTGATCACAGAGCACATATCAAATCTTGTGTCAAATGTGATTCTCCCCTCAAACTCAAACTCAGACTCAAGGAAGATGATTCAGGAAGTTGAATATATTTGAGACGTCTGGATTCTAAATGATCTCGGAAAAGCCTAGACGGCAACAATAGATATTTAAGCCTAGAACACAAAAACTGTGGCTTTCAAGTAGGAAAATACAATGGTGCTTAACTAATGGAATCACCAATTATTACCTTGAATTGATATGACGGAGAAAACGATTTCTCTTCTCTGCTGTAAAGCCGGAAACTTCCTTCGCTTCAACGACGGCTTTTTCCAATGGCGCTCGAGTTGACTTCCGGTTTCTTTAATGCGATGAGGAAATTGAGGATGAAAAGAACAAATTCTGTCATCCGCCAAATAATTTTATTTGCAGGTCTCAATTTTTGTGTGAAAAATATTGATCACACGTCAGATGTAGACTGAGGTTTATAATAGAACTTTAGCAATTGAAAAAGAAATGACGTTTGACCTATGAATCACTTTTGACCTTTGACATGACCCAAAAACATAAGTCCGATCACTGAATAGGCCGACTGAGCAATCAGCAAAGCCAGCTCGATCAGTCCAGTAGAGAAATCTAATCTCTGAATCAGATCTAGCCTGAGCCAAGCCTACATGCTGCACTCTCACACACGCACAGCAGAGGTCAGGTGGAAAACGAAAGTAGGGGCCAAGATCTGATGACATCTTTCATTTAACCTAATAGAAACGGTATGCTTTTTGGTAGGCTAGGCCTGTTTTATTTTCATTGTTGCACACAAGCCTTATGTTGTTTTTGTTTCTATGTTATTGTGGCCCAATCCTGATAATACCCATTATTCTTGAGGCTAACCTAACTGAGTGACGTAGTATAGGATCTACATACTACATTACATATATCGGTAGAGTTATTTGCGACAGAGTGACGCTGTGACAACTAACGCGGCGTTAATTGCGACAGAGTGAGTCTGTGACAGAAAAAGAAGTTATAAAGAAAAAAGTAACACACACACACATAATATGCACACACACACACACACACATAATATGCACACACACACACACACATACTACACTCATACTCATATACACCCTCTCTCTCTCTCTCTCTCTCTCTCTCTCTCTCTCTCTCTCTCTCTCTCTCTCTCTCTCTCTCTCTCTCTCTCTCTCTCTCTCATGCACACACATACAAATGTACATACACATGCGCACACACTCAAACACACAGACACACACATACGCACACACACACAAACTGCACACGCTTATATGGCCTTATAACTATACGCCTACGCGCACGCGAACACACATACATGCACACACACACACACACACACACACACACATACACACCAAACTAACAAAGACAGTCGCAGCTCTTTTCTTGTTGTTGTTGTTGTTGCTGGTGTTGCCCCTAGCGGTTTTTGTTGCTGCTATATGCTGCTAATGTTTTGTTGTAATATTTGTTGTCTCAATATTTTGGCTGTCTATAATGTGTACAGATAAAGTCACCTCTGCTGTACAGAAAGTCTTTTCGTGGATTTTTGCCACACACTTTAAGTTCGCCTTCTCAACTGTTTCAGATGACTTTCTTCCTAAAGGCAACAAAATTTTCATCTTTAAATTTAGCAAAAGCTTTGTCAAATTCGTCGTAAGATTTGAATGCCTGCACTAGAAAGCCTTACTGGTCAGCCGGAGATGGGCGGAGATTAGATAGGACCACCGTGCTGGAAAGCAACGCGGAAATGGTAGATCTAGATGATGTTAGATTCTAATCATCAAAGTAAAAGAGCTACGTGCGCAATTAACGCCGCGTTAGTTGTCACAGCGTCACTCTGTCACCATTAACACTACAATCTAGTCCTGAGTTGAGTAATTATTAGTTTAACTCAAAACTTATTTCGAAAGTTAGATCTAGATTCTAGACTAGATTCTAGATCTAGATGTCTAGTTTGAAACGAATTAGCGCTACGGGGTGAGAATAACCCATGTCTCGCTACGGGGGGAGAATAACCCATGTTTCGCTATGGAGTGAGAATAACCCATGTCTCGCTACGGGGTGAGAATAACCCATGTCTCACTACGGGTTGAGAATAACCCATGTCTCGCTATTCTCACCCTACCCCCCCTGGTGAGAATTCCCACCCCAGTGTGGTCATGAGGTGAGGACTCCCCCCTGACCTCTCGCAGGCCGATAAAATCGCCTAGGCCCTTGGTGGCTTACCACATGTTGTTGGGAACGAAAAATAATAATGTAAAAACATTTTCCGCCTCTCCAGTAAAAAAAAAAAAAGGCTCTCTACTGACGCTACGGAGCGAGATGTGGAACCGACTGCTGGCCGCACCATTCGTTGTTTACACACTTAACGATGGCTGGCCTCTCACTCTCTGCCTGCACACAATAAATTATGAGAGCGTGTACAAATTTAATGAGACACGCGCACGAGACAATTTAATGCTCTTGCACGACGGTAGAAGGGTTGTAAATTATTCAGACCAAACGGGTGAGGGCGTTAAAAAGTTCTTCACTCTCATTTTTTTCTTTTATTCTTTCTTTTTCCTTTTTTTCTTGCCTCCTGTTTCCCCTTCTTCTTGAACTTTTAGAGTATGGAGCCAAAAAAGAGCCATAAAATATTTTAAAACTATTCATTTGCGAATGAAATGAAGTAAATTATATTCATATTCAGGGCATCAATATAAATATATATATGGAGATATGGACAACTGGTAGCTAAGTGTGAGATGGGAGGGAAAGTAAAGGAATACCGATTCATATATCTTTCACTTACAGTGATGAAAAGCTTACAAGTACAAGTAACCATTATCTGTCCCAGTGGTTTTATGCACCCCGCATAATTTAGCAAAATTTGATCATTTTTTCCATAATTTCAGGTTATTTTCCTTTGTCATTCATTGTTAAAATTAACAGAATCGCTTAATTCCACATTTTTGGGCTCAGTTTGCATAATGTCAGAATTTTTCTTGCGTAAAACGACGGGGACAGCTTTACACCTCAGAAGAGGTGTGGCCTGTGTGGCCCCAGGGAAAATGTAACTTTGAGAAAATAGTGATTGTAAGTTCGCCTTGGCCTTGATATTATAAAAGGATAGCTGTCTTGCTTCGAAAGACAGGAGAGTCTTCTCATACAAATTTTATTTTTGTTACGTGCATTTAACCTTAGTCTTTCTAGACATAAATAAACATTCTTTAAAGCTTTTGAAAAATACTTGCTCTTTTTTAATTGAAAGTTGTTTCGGCAACTGTTGTCTCTTCCGTGCAGGAGTAAAATAAAGACAAGTGACGGCGGTTAAAGGAAGGTGTCCCTGAAAATGTTAGCACGCAGGAAAGCAACATTGTGTCTGGGCAAGTTCTTGAGGTTTTCAGTTTGTGCCTCCAAGTCTCAACCAGAGAAATGTTTCCTGCAACTTTTGACCCCTGCACTCAGGCGACACAGCTCCCAGTCCGGCCCACAGCACAGTGTGGCGATTGTTGGCAGTGGACCTGCTGGGTACTACACAGCACAGCAGCTGCTCAAGGTGAAGATTTTCCACATTGTTGTGAGCATTAGCATGATAAACGTGTCTAAAGCATTGATATTTAGAATAAAGTAGACCTAAACTCTGAACGTTGCCTTGTATGCAACAGAAATTTGCAGAACATGAATAAATAGTTAACATATTGATGTCTTGAAAAGAAAATGATTTTTGAAAATTGCTTTTGGCAGCTGAGGCAAAATTTGTTGTTCTTTAATAAACCTTGCAATAGTTATAGTACAACTAAAGTATAAAAAGAAAATGGCTAGATATACAGAAAGTGTTTTGTCTAGATAGCCCTTCCATGGCTTAGGGTATGACCCTGACCAACAGTTTGTTGTAGTGTTTACTCATGTACTGAGAGAAAAAAAAACTAGCAAGACAAACAACCCTGTGAGTGGTTGGAGGGTGCCACTGGTGTGTCTTACTTTTTGCCTTTCTCTCTGTTGTCTCAGTCTGTCATTTTCTTTGGGCTATATGAAAAAATGACCATATTGTAGCTATGAGTAAATGAACTAATTGTGCCCTTATATGCTTCTCTTTTCTCAAACAAAAAAAGAACCTCCATGTTTATGTAAATCTTGCAGGGTGACCCTGGTCTTGTCGTAGATGTGTATGAAAAACTTCCTGTTCCCTTTGGCTTGGTGAGATACGGTGTGGCCCCTGATCACCCTGAAGTTAAGGTACTGTTGGTATCATCTAACATTTATGGTTTGTGTGGTCTTATTGGCGGGGCCCTTTGGCCTCATCGGTTCAGTTCGGTTTTGGGTTAGCCGGATTGTCCCACATGGGAGTGCGAAACTGACGGGAGGGGCAAAACTGACAAAACCAATGATGACCTTCTATAACAAATTCTTTTGTTTTCATGGCTGCTTGTTTCGGTTTGGGCAGTTGGTCTATCTATAGTGTGCACTGAAGCAACCAGAAACCAAACTAAGCCGAACTGAACAGATCCTCCTATGGGCACCGAATATACCATTTATAATTTGTGTCATCTTAACATTTGTGGTTCATGTGGTCTTACATTCATGATTCTTGTAGTCTTACTTAGTCTTACATTTATGATTCTTGTAGTCTTACTTAGTCTTGCATTCATGATTCTTGTAGTCTTACTTAGTCTTACTTTCATGATTGTTGTAGTCTTACGACTTAGTCTTACATTCATTCAAGATTCTTGTTCATCACTGGATGTGTCTAGGGTATAGCGGTCTTCCCCTTACCCATAGAAGGATAGAAAGAACATGAATCTTTAGTACTAAAAAACAATGACTGCTCTATCATTTTAAGTGTATATACTGACAGTAAAATTATCTTAACATTTCGATGGTGTTCTTAGGTTATTCTTGACGCAGTCTCTGTGCTCTTATTATTAAACATTTTTTAAATGCAGGAGAGAAAATTTATTGCTGAGTAGAAATGTACATGATCACTGTTGAAAAAAGAGTAAGTTTGTTTCACCTTGCTTAACAGAGTTAGCAGAAACCATCGAAATTACTTGTTCTTCCTGCAACAGTGATGATATCCTCGATAACTGGCTCATTCTGGAAAATGATGTACCAACTTCATCACACTGAAATTGTTGAAAAAGTGGCTGACAATGAAAAGATTATACAGGAATTTTAGGGAAAAAATAAGAGTAAGAGTAAGACATTTATTTGGCAGTAGCATGTTCTTCATGTTATTTATCAATCTGTCTACAATTTCAGAACGTTATTCACACTTTTACCCAAACTGCTCAGAATGAGAGATGCAATTTCTTGGGTAACATAGAAGTTGGTAGGGATGTCTCTCTGCAAGAGCTTCGAAATGCTTACTCTGCCGTTATATTGGTAAGTAAATCAAATCTTTATTCTTAGCAGCTGATACTTGATAGTCATGTACTGCTAAAAATATTGTTAATCCTATAAGTACAGGTAGAGTTCATTGCAAGGGAAATATTCTGATGAAATTGCTACAGATTGTACTCTTGTACAACATCATGTGCTATAAAAGAGCGTGTCTTTTTAATGGACATTTTTATCTTCTGTTGAATTTTCTACACTTTTATTCTTAAGAGAAGAAGCAAAAGGTTGTAATGTGATTGTTATTATTTTCTTATGTTAGAGATATTCAGAGTTATTGATTGATTGATTGATTTCTTTCTTTCTTTCTTTATCTATTTATGTATTTTTGTATTTATGTATTTAATTAATTTACTAATTTTATTTATTTATTTTTTCGTGTTTCAAGGTCTGTAGTTTCTTGCCTTTCCAATAACCTAATACTTCTTGTTCTGATACTTTTATTCATTTATTGAGCAATATTATATATTTTATTTTTGGTTGTGTTGTCCTACTAGTAGTTGTGCAAGTACAAAACAGATTTGAAACCGGTACCTCAGACTGAGAGGTGTGGGTGGTTGGCGGGTGCTCTGGTGTGGTTTGCTCCTTCTTTCCTATAAAAAATCTATCATCCTTATCTCCCCTTCTTCTTTTTTTTGTTTGTTACTCTCTTGTAACACCTCTAATCTTCTGGCGCTCATATGACCTTATGCAGTTGTGAGCGCCGTAAAACCTCTAGGCCTACTAAAACTAAACTAATACTGAGAGGCGAACTGTGTACATACAAGACTCATGAGCCTCTGTACTGTTCTCCTCAGTGTTACGGGGCAGCAGAAGACCGGACACTGGGGGTTCCCGGAGAAGATTTACCTAACGTGATATCGGCAAAGTCGTTTGTTGGGTGGTACAACGGCCTTCCTGAGGATAAAGACGTGTGTTGGTTTGACCTATTTTCTATCATGATTTGTTTATTTGTTGTTTTTTATTTCTCTTTTTGGATCAGTGTTGCTTTTGTCCACAATGGTGAATAGAGAACTTCGTGTCTGACAAAATTTTGTGTGTCACATATTGGAAAATAACATTTCTTAAACTGTCACTTCTGTTCATATTGTTTGTCCAACTTCATTGTAAAAGTTTGCATATTCATTAATTATAGGGATGTCAATACCAATCTGAGATGGATAGATGTCTGGATTTTTGCTTAGATTTGATGTTTTATAAATGTCACATTGATTCATATTCACACAAACAAGTTTTTCCTTCAAACAACGGACTATGTTATGTACCGCTATTAGTCATAATGTTGATGCTAGGTTTATGCTCCTGAAAGCTTGAAAACTGATCAATAAGTTTTCATGATTTGTTATTTGTTTTCCAGAACTTGTGTTGGATTCAATAGTTATTTGTTTGGAAACATAATAGGGCAGTAGCTAGATTTTCTTACTAGGGGTATGTTCGGTCCGGTTTGGTTCTTTTTTTTTTTCTCGTACAAAAACTCAACCTCTCTCTTTGCAGCTGTGGATAACTTGTTTGATGATAGAAATCAAACCACAATTATATTTTCTTCAACGTTTTCAGTTGCCAGTGAACCTGGACTGTGAGTCAGCCGTTGTTCTGGGGCATGGCAATGTGGCGCTGGATGTGGCCAGGATTTTACTCACTCCCATCAACATGCTCGAGGTTTGGATTTTTAAAAAAAATACTGTGTGTTTGTTTGTATTTATGTTTATATGCTCCTAGGTTTTTGAGTGCCAATGAGAGGAAAAAGTCATACGTGGGTAAATTGGAAAAATTAGTGTTTTGACAGGTGTATTTTCTTATAATGAACTAAATTAAATACTAATCTTCTTACAGGCTGCATATTCTTTGCACAGACACAATTTGTCTTAGTTTATCTTTTTGAAAGTGATTGACTTGATTGTTTTCCAGCTGTTCACCTTCATAGAGGACACCATTGCTGTGAGAGTACACTTGACTATAAGACAAAGCAGAAGCTTGGGAATCACACACCTAGAGTTTGCCACTGTTCTGCTTTTTTCTTCCATGTCTTCCTACTGTGTTATCAGGTTTTACTGTAATCCTGTCAGTCTGTTTATGAGTTACTATTATTCAGACAAACAAACAGGCTGATAGTATAAATTATAGTCTTGTAATCTCCTCAGTATGACGTGTTCTGGTTTTGTTTTATTGCTGTATGAGATCTTCATTTTCTTAGATTTTTTCATGAACTGTTTTGTAGATACCTCACTACCTCACTGGTTGGCGGGTGCTCTGGTGTGGTTTGCTTATCTATCATCCTTATCTCTCCTACTTCTTTTTTTATGTTTGTTACTCTCTTGTAGCACTTCTAATCTTCTGGCGCTCTTATGACCTTATGCAGTTGCGAGCACCGTAAAACCTCTACTAAAACAAAAACTACCTTAATGATCTTTGATAAAGAAAATACAACTGAGTGTGTTTTATTTCGTCTGTCAGAAAACAGACATATCGGAGCATGCTCTGGACTGTCTGCGGAGAAGCAAAGTGAAGCGTGTTCACTTGGTGGGCCGCCGCGGGCCGCTGCAGGTGGCCTTCACCATCAAGGAGCTGCGGGAGATGGTCAAACTTCCTGGGACACGACCCGTCATCTCTCCTCAGGACGTCCAGGGACTGGATAAAATTATCAAAGGTTTGTGATAGGATATGGATGGAGTGGTACGAAAAGAAAAAACCCTGCATGAGACAGTCAAAAATCAAAAACAAATTGGGAAGGGGTAAATTCATGTCCAAGAACACTTGAATCGATAGAAAGTCTTGAACATCTTACTCTCATGAAAAAAATAGTTGTTAAAGAGGCAGAGGTAGACCGAGAATAATTTACTTAGAGAACTTGAATAGATGGTTGTCGGGGAAAGATCAAGATATATATGTTGTTTTCTTTAGAAAACATTTGAACAGAGAAATAAATGTCAGACCATGATTGTCTGGTTCAAATCTGACACTTGAAGAAAAACTATTAGACTGTTTCTCTTTTCTGAAAGATGATGCTGAAGATAGTGTTGGATTTTGTCTTTCCTCAATGATTGTGAAAAGTTTTTCGAGTGGCTAAGTTACTTTTGGAGCTTCTATACCAATGCCTTCTGAAAACAATTAGAATCACAGACAATGAACACAGATAAAATGATCATACTGAGGAAGCATTCATAGATGATTCAGATTCATTTGGTTGGGTTTTTTATTGTTGTTTTTTTGTCTCGTGTCCCTTTTTCGGGTGCCATGTTAGGGATCTTATTCGTAGCGGACTATCATTGACTAAGTGGATGTAAATAAGTAGTTACAGTGATATTTCAGAACCACGATGTTGTTAGTATTTGATTATGTAATTAATTTGTTTTGTAAATATCTTTTGTCGCCTCTTCTAGCTCCCCATTTTGTCGCCTATTTTAGCTCCCTCTTTTGTCGTTTAATCCTCTATTCCAGATCCTGCTTTTGTCCCCTATTCTAGCTACCACTTTTGTCACCTATTCTAGCTCCCCCTTTTGTCACCTATTCTAGCTCCCCCTTTTGTCGCCTATTTTAGCTCCCCCTTTTGTCGTCTATTTTAGCTCCCCATTTTGTCACCTATTCTAGCTCCCCCTTTTGTCACCTATTCTAGCTCCCCCTTTTGTCACCTATTCTAGCTCCCCATTTTGTCGTCTATTCTAGCTCCCCCTTTTGTCGCCTATTTTAGCCCCCCCTTTTGTCGTCTATTCTAGCTCCCCATTTTGTCATCTATTCTAGCTCCCCATTTTGTCGTCTATTCTAGCTCCCCATTTTGTCACCTATTCTAGCTCCCCATTTTGTCGTCTATTCTAGCTCCCCATTTTGTCGTCTATTCTAGCTCCCACTTTTGTCGCCTGTTTCAACTCCCCCTTTTGCTGCCTATTCAAGCTCTCGGGTTGTCGTTGTTTGTTCAGATCTGCCGCGGCCACGACGACGTCTGACTGAGCTGATCCACAAGACGGGCACTGCGGTCAGGCCAGGGTCAGAGGAGGTCAAGGAGTGGACGCTTCACTTCTGTCGCAGCCCACAGAGAATACTGACCTCTGCCGGTGGGGATGTCGCTGGCATTGAGCTGGTGGTGAATAGGTTACAGGTGTGTCTTTGTGTGTGTATACATGTTTGTGTTTGTCTTTGTGTGTGTGTGTGTGTAGATGCTTGTGTGTAGATGCTTGTGTGTAGATGCTTGTGCTTGTCTTTGTGTGTGTATGTTTGTATATATATACATGTTTGTGTGTGTAAGTGTGTGTATATGTGTGTGTGTGCATGTGTAGTTGCTTGTGCTTGTCTTTGTGTGTGTGTATGTTTGTATATACATGTTTGTTTGTGTATGTGTGTGTGTACGTATGTGAGCTTGTGTTTGTATTTATATATATTTATATATTCATTTATGTGTACATGTTTGTGTTTGAAGGTTTGTGAATGGGAATACATGTGGTTTTGAATGTTTTGCCATTTAATTTTCAGGGTGAGACGTTAGAGAGCCAGAAAGCTGTGGCGACTGATGAGAGGGAAATTCTTCCTTGTGGATTGGTAGGTTTTTGAGATTTTCACATAGAGCCATACTTACTTCTTGTCTTCCCTCCATATGTAATTTCTTTGTGTGGGAATTCCCAGTATATCCCCCCATTTTTGGTAAAAAGCAGCTTAAAAAGTAAATCCGAAGTTTGAACAAAAAACTTTGACAAAATGTACGTGAGGATTAGAACTTCTCGTTTTCACATTAATTATGATAGGAATTGTCCTTGTGCCAAAACAATGTTTTGTAAATGAAAGTAAATGGTTATATTTACATTTTCTTTGGTTTCAAAGATTTGTTAGTGGGTGGTTGGCGGGGACTCTGGTGTGGTTTGCTCCTTCTTTCCTATCAAACGTCTATCGTCTTTAAGTCTCCTCTTTCTTTTTTGTGTTTGTTACTCCATTGTAACACCTCTAATCTTCGGCACTTATATGACCTTATTGTGTTGCAAGTGCCGTCAAATTCTTACTAAAACTAAAAAGATTTGTTAAGGCCTAAGTTATGTATGTAATAAATGACAAATATATGACATTTTTTGGTCTGACAACAGGTTCTCCGCAGCATCGGCTACAAAAGTCTACCTCTGGACCCCAGCGTGCCTTTCAGCAAGGGGAAAAACATCATCGACAATGAGGACTCCAGAGTGAAGGGAGAACCAGGTGAGATAAGGTTGTGCTCTATGCTGCCCGGCTTGTTGTTACATGCACAGAATAAGGAGAATTACAGGAGGTGTTTTGTGCAGGAGGTGTACTGTACAAGAGATGTATTGTTCAGAAGGTGCATTTTAGGAAGAGGTCCAAGAGGTGTTCTGTACAGAATAGGGAGAGTTACACAGGAAATGTGTTGTACAGAATAGGGAGAGGTACAGAAGGTGTTGGGTGTTAGGAGAGGATTTAAGGTCATTGTGTCAGATGAGCAATGCATTTCTTTAGAAATAAGTTTTCTCTTATGAAAATGTTGCTTCAGTTGAAATTGTCAAAGACGGCCACCCATTGTCGAGAAGAAAAGTGGCCGTCTTAGACAGGTGGGCATCTTGAACATTGTCATTATAACGTAGAAGAAAAAATGCAAGAATGAAAGCCGTCGTTTGTACAGGTGATCGTCTTAGACAGGTGGCCATTGGAGGAGGTTCGATTGTAATTTGGCTGGATGAAAATGTCTCATGTTGTCAGGTTTGTGCTGTACTTTGATTTGACTAAAATGTCTCATGTTGTCAGGTTTGTGCTGTACTTTGATTTGACTAAAATGTCTCATGTTGTCAGGTTTGTGCTGTACTTTGATTTGACTAAAATGTCTCCCGTTGTCAGGTTTGTACTGTACGGGCTGGATCGGACGAGGTCCTGTCGGGGTTATAGCTGACACGATGAACTACGCGTTTGACACAGGACGCACTGTGCTGCAAGACCTGGACAATGGGCGTGTCGCCAGGAGGGAGCTTGGGTGTCGGGACCAACTCTTGAATAAGTTACGCAGCAAAGGTATGTACTGTTCTGTTGTTATTTGGTATCACTGGCTTATTAGTAGAATTCAGTGTTATTATATGTCTTTGAAGAAAGTTCTGATTTTGGATGACTAAGTTTTCCTAAAGGCGAATCTTTCCGTTGATATGATTGGAACTTTGTTTGCATCTGGCATGGCGGAAAACTTTGGATGGCTTGACAATATTCTCTTATGATATCATTCCTACCTGTGTGTAGTTGATGATTTTGAGAGCATAGACTTGTTATGTGAAATAGCTTCCCTGAAGCAAAATATATTAGAATAACTAATTGTGACCTGCCTCGTTCTCCCTTTTTTGCTCTTGAAAAGAAAGTAGAGTTGAGCAAACAAATGATTGTGAACTGTTGAGCATGTCTAATGTTTCTTGTGATTAGTTGTAATGTTAGTAGACTCACTCATGTTGATTGTTCTATGCTCAAATTTCCCTTTTAATCAGGAGTACTCATGTTTGTACAGTAAATTAGTACATTTCTTTCTCCTCCCACGGCAATTAATTGTCTCTTTAGTTGAGAGGGTTAATGAAGCGTTCATAAATTGATTGTTTGTTCTTTATCGTCTCATCAGCTGTGACGTTTGAAGACTGGGAGAAAATTGACATGGCTGAGATGGCAGCGGGAGAGAAAATCGGCAAACCTCGGGAGAAGCTGGTGAATGTGGAGGAAATGTTGCAAGTTGCCTGTAGATAATGCTGGGCCTTCCTAGAGGTCTGGTCGTCAAAATTTTACCTCCATTTTGAAATGATTATTCGTTGAAGGTATTGTATACAGTTGAAATTGTTCAGGAGGGTCACCCATTGTTGAGGAGAAAAGTGGTTGTCATAGACAACTGGATTTGAATAGTGTCATTATAATAAAAGAAAAACGCATAAGGGGCAGTGGGAAGTGAGAAGTGGTTGTCTTGGACAAGTGACCGATAGGACAAGTTCGACTGTTTACATACACATATCTGCTTTAATACATGATCTCTTGAGGCAAGTGTCTGCTGTGAGAATACTTGACAATTTTGTCTCCTTATTTAACGTTCAACCAGATGTGCACTGGCACAATCAGTAGAAGGACCCTCGGCAACATTTTGGAGAGAGCAACGGAGCATCAATGGATATGTCCGGAGTGCAGGGATGTTGCTTCCTGAAACAAGAACAAGTCTCCTTATTTACCTCAACAAACTCTTCACTCTAAAAGTTATTATATAGATGGACTTTTTAAAACTATAATTATAATTGATATAACTGTAGCAATAATAGTGGTGATAGTAGATTCACTTTTCTGTTTTTCTCTTCTTTTCTCTACCTCGGATAACCCTAACTTTTACTTTGCAAATTGCCAATGTGGTTTTGTCAGTTTAATCGCTGCCTCAAACACTGAAGAACACGTTTTTAATAGAGGGCATGGCCACTGACATTCTGCGGTGATGAAATTTACAGACCGCCCTTTGCACAAACGTGTTAAAGTGGGTAGTTGGTGGGGGCTCTGGGATGGTTTGCTTCTTTTTGCTTATTGAACATCTATCGTCCCAATCTCTCCTTTTTTTTGTATGTTACTCTTTTGTAACACCTTTAATCATCAGCATTATGACCTATTTATGTTGCAAGTGCTGTAAAACTCTTACTACTAAAACTAAACATGTCAAATAAGCCTGTGGAGTAACGTAAGACTGAGAGAAGAAATGTCACAGTTTGTTCTGCTGCTAGTGGGTTCCATTATCCGTTTTTTCCTTCTCTTCTCTCCATCTCTGATATCGTTAAATTCTATTCTCTCTATTCAGATATCGTTCTCTTTTCTCTCTATCACAGGAAATATTGTCTTTTCTTTTTATCACAGACATCGTTCATCATTCATGTCTCTTCTTATGGACCTCTATTCTCTGTACGGACATCTCTACACCGTTCACGGCATTATATTGAGATTACCAGATATTGTGTGTTTATCATGAATACTTGTTAGTTCTATATTAGACAGATCGTTGTTTGGGTGTTAGTGTGCCTTTGTGCGGGTCAGATGTTTGATGTGTGATGGAAAGTCTGTTTAGTTGTTTGAAAAAGTCTGTTTGTCTTGTAGAAATTATAGGTGGTGAATTAATCAGATTTTTCTTCGATTCGTTGTAGTTTGAAGGAAGGAGCTTTGCTGTGCCATAAGAATATGATTTTATGATGACCTTATTTTCACAGTATAATAATGATATTCTATATATAAGAGTTCTGTACTGTCATGAATGAATGTCAAATGAGGTTATGTTTGTATATTTTATTGCTCAAGGCTAGCAAGACTACAGATATTGAGGTTGGCGGGTGCTCTGGTGTGGTTTGCTCCTTCTATCCTATCAAACATCTATCGTCTTTATCTCCCCTCCTTCTTTTTTATGTTTGTTACTCCCTTTGTGACACCTCTAATCTTCTGGCGCTCATATGACCTTATGCAGTTGCGAGCGCTGTAAAACCTCTACTGAAACTAAAAAACAGATACTGAATGGAAGCAGTTGTCCGATAACTGTTTTTTTTACCAGTGATTTTGACCGCTGACTGCGCGTAGTCTTGTGCAAAGAGAGACATGGTGAGATTTGGCAGTTGTCTGTTGGAAAATTCTTGTGCCTTGACCTTCCACTTTCACGTTTCTTGTAGCAGTTTGAGTAGCTGGTTGATGGAGCTCAGATATATTATGAGTGGTTATTTCTAGTTTCAGGGCTTCTTAACTCCCGGCAGATTTTGCTTCCTAGAAGAGAGACTTTTCAACAGACATTTAAAGATTTCAAGGGACATTTCATGAGACATTTCAAGGGATATTTAAAGAAATGTTTAAAGAGACATATTTTTATTTGAACATTCTTGTACTTTCTAAGAAAGTGAATTGTTTTTGAAGGCTTTAAATTTGTTACCACACGGCTAAATTGATGATTTCTTCACCTATCATGATGTGTTGAATAAAGTATACACAGTTGATGTCGAGGAAAAGAGGGATTGTCTTGGACAGTTGAAATTGTAATGTTGAAAAAAATGCAAGTGGGCTGGTGCAGGAGTGGGAAGTGGTTGTTGGTACTGGTGATTGTTTTATGCAGGTGGCCATTAGATTGTATACTATTGGACTCTGTAATTCATAGAATTTGGCAAGTTTGATCCATGGTGTGTGCTATGTTCAATAGTCAGGGACTTACTTGTAGTCGTTCTTTGGTGCGAAAGTTGTATGTTGTGTCAGACAGTGGCAGTAGTTTCTTTTTACCCACTTTTTGTCTGGCCATAGCAAGCCTTTTGTTGCTTGCATTCCAGCTTCCAAGATTCTTTGACAAGTCGCTGGTATACTCTACCTCTGGATTTGATTTTAAAAAACCCTTCTCCCTCCACTCACCCTCTCACCCCCCAAATGCTGGAGTAAGAAGTCCAATGTACTGTATAATACTCGTACAACTTCAAAACTTTGTTATTGTATAGTTTACTTTTACAAAAGGACAGCTTTATGCTATTTGAAAAACGTTACCGGTAGCATGAAATGTTAGTACTACCACAAGCATCAGGTACCGAATGGAGGTCAATCTCATTGTTGTAATTGTTGGCTGTTTCTTTCCTTGTCTACCCGGTTGATCTACGTATAAGATGTTTTTCTTCCTGTTGTCGTTCATTATGGTGCTGATGTGAGACAGAATGTTGTTGGAATAAACTGTGATGAAAACTTTTCTACTACCCGAGATTTGTTTTGATTTGGTGTTGTTATATCTTATATGATATTGTAACAGACTTTCCGTGTGTTGCTCGCTACTTGTTGGAGGTGACCAATCAGAAGCCTTGGATAGTTTTCCTTCTTTTTCAGCCTCTCTCTGCTCAATAAACTACAGCCCAGGACTAGATTTTTCAACACATTGTCACTAAAGTCTGGACACAAGAAAAACTTTTTTTTTTCTCAGAAACGCACACCTGCCAACCACCCCTTGACCAAAAATAGTTTTCATTAAAAAAATCCTCCCCAATTTATGTAAGAGTTTTCTTCAAAATCCTCCCCAAGATAGTTTTCCTCAAAATTCTCTCGAAAAAGGAGTATGGAGAAAAAAATGGGAATCTTCAGACCTCTGGTAGATGAAGATTATTTAACACACTGAGAGTAACAAATTAATGAGTCACGTCTAAGTCTGATTCCCTGTAAAGACTTCTCTGTTGACACCCACCGTAAAACCCTCTGCTATAAAAAAATAAATCTCTCCTTCTTCCTTTTTGTGTTTGTTACTCTCTCTTGTAACACCTCTAATCTTCGGCACTTATATGACCATAGTGTGTTGCAAGAGCCGTAGAACATTTACTAAAACTAAAAAACCCCACTAACATACTGATATGATCTTTTGCACACTATAGCTGGGTACCCATTCTCACCTCTGTAAATGTAAAGTGAGGAAAATTCACGTAAAAAGCCTTTCCTGAGGACAAAATGTCAAGCCAAGTTGAGCCTCCAACTCCCAAATATGCACCCTCATGAGGCTCAGGATTACGAGTCCATTACCTAACCACTAGATTACCAAAGCATAAAAGAATTTAGTCTCCCTTGGAGTGCAAAAATAGCAACAAACTGGCTGCCGTGCTGTCATCTCTGGAATCGTGTGAGTGCCAATTTCACTAACAGAAAGTTTTAGTATGAGTTGCACCACAGCACTTTCAACACAATTAGTGCCAAACATTTTGAAATAAGAGTGGTTGGAGGGTGCTCTGGTGTGGTTTCCTCTTCCTTTCCTATCAAACATTTATCGTCCTTATCTCTCCTTCTTTTTTGTGATTGTTACTTTGTTACTCTTTTGTAACACCTCTAATCTTCGGCACTTATATATAAATTACCTTACTGTGCCGTAAAACTCTTATTAAAACTAAAACAAAACAAAAGTGCTGAACCGCAGTGAGAGATTGGGCTACAAAGAGTTTATTAGAAGATATACAGCACAAATAAATAGCAGCTTGTGTTGTTACACAGGGGAAATAACAACCTAAAAGTGAACAAGTCTTGTGGTAAAAACAGAGTCTGGCTCAAACACTCAACTCTAAAAACAGACAAAAATCCTTCAGATGTAATCGAAACTGAAAAAAAGTTGATTAAAAGAACAATCTGAAAACCCTGAGATTCCATTTCCGCTAGGAATTCACAACTTGTGCTGGAAACGCACATCAACGCACAGCTCAATATCAAAATCAAAATCAAAAGGGATTTATGAAAGAAGATTTTTTCAATGTTGAAGGTACTGGTGCAGCAGACATAAGAATGTAAATTATATTATAAAATTATAATAATGCCGTTACAATTCTGTCTAGGTGTGCACAGAGACACGAACAAGAAACATTTGTTGAAGTAGTAGTAGTAAACAATAATCAATAAATATGACAATTTCGTAACACGTTGGTCCAGCTCCGTACAGAGACACGTAGAAGAAACATTCTCTAATCACAAGTACGTCTGTTATCACAATCACAATATTATATCAGAAATAATTAGTATTGACCTAAGAAATATTCTAGTTTTTTTTCGTTTGTTTGTTCTTGTAAATGAGATCATGTAGACAGCAGAGGTGTGTTGTAGCTTGTTGTGGGGGCAGGGGCGTGTTACACATCACTACTGCCCTACACATCAAGTACACGCTCAGCCTTCTGTCTTAATATGTTCCTGAAAAATTTGGACCACCATAGGGCCTATATATATATATATATATATATATATAATATGCATGTACATGATACTTTACTTAAGCTATAAAGTATAATAAAGACTTTTTAAAGAGTAGCAGAGTTAGGAAAATGGTAGACATCCGCAAGGAAGTATAAAAATTTTTTAAAACAAAACAAACCATCTTACCTTTTCCTTCACATTACTGAAAAAAAATCTCCTTTCCAAAAAGTGGAAAATTTGGAGGAAAGTGGAAGAAGCAGACACCATGACGAGGTAGAGCGAGGGACTGATGGTGCCGGGACAGTGCGAGAGGACAAATATAGCAACAGATGGAACACGCGACAGAAAGTAGATGGGAGTGTCATTTGACAACCAGTGGTGACGTAACATACGACAGAAAACTAGGTCAGCGTCATTTGACAACCAGTGGTGACGTAACGTACGACAGAAAACTAGGTCAGTGTCATTTGACAACCAGTAGTGTAACGTACGACAGAAAACTAGGTCAGCGTAATTTGACAACCAGTGGTGTAACGTATGACAGAAAACTAGGTCAGCGTCATTCGACAACCAGCGACTCAACAACTGGTCTGTTATCCACATTAACACAATGTTGAAAAATTTTCTACACAAAGACATAAAAAACAAGAACAGCACCATGACCCAACAAAGTAATCAAAACTGTGCTCTCAAGGTATGAATGAAAAATGAAAAACAAAAACACACCATGATCACTCAACGTTTGATCATACCCTACCACACAGTATGGTAATGTAGTACACATAGGGGGTGTTCAAATATAATCTTACGCCTGGAAATGGGGGAGGGGGGGGGGGGGGTCTTTGGCTCTTGTAAGTAAAGTGTAAGAATGTCCCCATGGTTTTATGCACCCCGCATAATTTAGCAAAATTTGATCATTTTTTGCATAATTTCTGATTATTTTCCTTTATCGTTCTTTATTAAAATTAACAGAATCTCATAACATCACATTTTTGGGCTCAGTTTGCAAAACCACGGGGACAGGTAAGAAGGGGGGGGTCTTGAACCAATGTAATATAACACTTTCTTTTAGGTCCCAAGGGGTTGGCTTTATCAGCAGAAGTCCACTGTAATTAGTTTTATTTGTTATTAATGGCGCTTTTGACACTGACATGAGTCTCAATTTTTTTTCCTCATTTGTAAAAATGAGTGTATGCAATAGCGTATTTTGCTTGAATGATTTGCTCAGTTAATTTTTAGTGAATGTAGAACAGCATATTTTATTATTATGTGCATGTATGTGTGTATGCATGCTTTTCATGAATATTATCTAAAGCATATAGTACAATAATTGTAATATAAATGTTTTAGTATTATTATGAGCGAAAAATGTAGTATTGCGGGATTTGGGGGTGGGGAGTTGGGTACAGGCAAATGTAATAAAAGTGTAAGGGGGGGCAAAATGTCCCCAAAAAGGTGTTAGATTGCATTTGAACAGCCCCATACTCAAACTACGATCACTCAATGCTTGATCATCCATTGCGTACAGGAAAGTACACATACTCAAACTATGATCATTGATAGAACAACTCATCATAATCATCATACTTTGCTTGGCACCACATACAAATGGAGCAGACTGGTCTACAATGGACAACACATACTGTGTTCACCATTGCCACCATCTCTTAACTGTCCCTGTGGTTTTATGCACCCAGCATAATTTAGCAAAATTTGATCATTTTTTGCATAATTTCTGATTAATTTCCTTTATTATTCTTGGTTAAAATTAACAGAATCGCATAATTTCACATTTTTGGGCTTTTCAGAATTTTTGTGTGCATAAAACGACGGGGACAGCTTTAATCTTAACTTTCAAGGTAAGCCACATTTTTTAACTTGCCCAAAATTGTTCCGAATCAGTGCACAAGACGAAAAGTATACATTTATTTTGACAGAAATAAAACACTTCAGACGACAATCTTTCTGTCATCACACAGAACAGAGCTCCAGCGATATTAAGCACGACGTAGACAACATCTCTAACTTTATTAAGCGCTAGTTCAGTGACTATTTGTCCGGAGGTCGAGTCAAAACTGACATTTGTACGACCGGACGTGTACTATGAAGATACAATGTACTGTACACCACAATACAAAAAAACCAATGGCAAAGTAGCAACAATATGGTCTAGGCCATCAAAGTTTTCCATTACACCGCCAAATATTTCCCCATAAAAAAAAACTTGGAAGAAACAGGAAAAGTCCACCAACAAAGAAACACAGCTTTGCAGCAGTAATACAGATATATATATATATATATAGCAGAAAATAATCATAGCAAGCACCAGTTCTTGACCCGAGTGTCTTTCGTTGCTACAGATTCCTCAACTGTTCTTCCATATATATATGATGATTCTTTAAAAATGACTTCATAAAATAGAAGCAATGAAGATTTTATCAGCATTCGTTTACTTTCTCTAAGTACAAAAATAATTCCATGAAACAAAAACTCGTGACGGTTTAACAGCTGTTAAGATTTCTGTCCATATAAAAATAGAGGAGATTTTTCAAACAGTAGTTAATGCTTTAGCTGTGCCGTATAGCAGTAGGAGAACATGGCACTGGGAGGGTGGGAGCACCAAGGGGGGGGGGGAGGGGAGGAAGACAAGATAGAGAGGGGAAATTGACAGAGAGAGAAAGAGAGAGAGAGAGGGGGAGAGGGATATTGAGAGAGAGGGAGAGAGCGGGAAGATTCAGAGAGAGAGAGAGAGAGAGAGCATCAGGAGATATAGTCTACTCTCAAAAATACTTCAATTACGACAGAGTGGGGGGAAGAGAAAAAGAAGGTGGAAGTGGAAGAGACATCAGAGTGGAAGAGAGAGAGACAGAGAAAGTTCAGCTTCCGGAGAGTGAGGAGAAAAAAAATAAAATAAGGGGTGGAGGTTTGTTGTGTCAGGAATAATGGTGGTGCAATTACTTACTACTACTACAACACTAGCAGTCAATCTGTACTGAAGGAGAATTTTGGGGGAAGCATGATATCAGACCGACATCTGTGGTGAGTGTGGTGGTTACGCTCTTTGCCACCAGTGTGAAAGGCAATAGTTCAATTCCCACAAGAGGAAGAAACAAGAAACTCTTCTGAGTTTGTCCACCTTTCTGCTCTAATGTATTAAAACAGCCACAGATCGCATTGACCACAGGCAGCGCTGAAGTAGCCCTCCTCTTAAATGACCTAAACTGTGTTAATGACGGTGCTAAACTGTAACTTACAATTTCTTACACTCTTGGAACAAAGAAGCACAGAGGGAGGGCACACACACGCAAACCTAAAAACAGCCATTTGAAACAGGCATAGACAGAGACAAACAGACAATAGCAAACACAGACAGACAAACAGACAACTGTACTGTAAACACAGACAGACAAGACAAACAGACAGATAATAGCAAATACAGACAGACAAATAGGCAGATAAACAAACAATAGAAAACTCAGACAGACAAACAGACAACTGTAAACACGGACAGACAAGACAGGCAAGAAACAATAGAAAAACAGACAGACAAAAGCAAACACAGAGCGAGACAGTTCAGGCGGAAGGGTTTGTGCTACACAGAGTTATGCAGAAAAACAGAAATGACAAATATATATATATAAAAAATACCGCAGCCGCTCAAACCCAACGTAGCAAATCCTGACGAATGAAGCACACATATATATTTCAATGATCAGCGCGTTCTCAGTATTTCGGTCAAATTTACCTCTGATCACACACAAGAAGCTGACTACAGAGCTGGCAAGCAAAAGACGAAAGACCCAGCCTTCTCAAGACAATCACAAGAATTTAAGGCATTGAAATTAATATCCAGTGATACAGACAACCATCAAGAGTCTGCCACGCAGCAAATGCACAGCACCAAACACCATTACAGTGACAAGTTCAGAAAACGAATAAACGGTGAGAAAATTTTTTTTCCACAAGCAAGTTGCAAAACCCAAAACCATAACTTTAGCAACATTACCACACTACAACTACAATTTTACAGGAATATCAAGGAACAAAAAAAAAAAAAAAAAAAAAAAGAGTCTTTCTTTCAAAAGCAAAATTCCGCTCCAAAGTGAATGTGAAACACCACAGATATATATATATATATGCAGGTGAATGAGTCAACAGTCAACAGTACATGTACATTTTTCCTTACAACCTCCAGGCAGGATCAAGGCTTCTGCAAAGTTTTAGCTGCTTGGGCAACAAGAGTACAAACAAGGGCTACGGAAACACAAGACTAGACAAAAAACCCGCACGCAGAAAAATATAAAAGCCCATCACAAGAACCGCTCAAATACCCAGGGCTTCCAACGCTCCACAAGAAACATTTGTCAAATACAACCATTTCACCTCACATCACAGGCACACCAACAAAGCTTCATAAAAAATATATCACGTCAAACTTTACTTGAAATATGCTCTTTTTTTTCTTTCTTCGTAATAAAAGACCGGTTGGAGAGAATCAAAACACGATTTGTAAAATAATACGACATTAATGCTGATTTATCTTTCATCACTTTAACAAACATATTTTCACTTCCTGAATCTCTGCAGCACCCAGCAGTAGGAAGTACAAACAGACAAGAGCTCCCAGTTGCCCTTTAAGGCTTTACAAAACCAAAATAAAAAAACAGGACACTGGCGCAGCAAGAAAACTAAAAGATATCCGGCTTTTTGCGGAGAATGTTTTTTTTTTCCACCCCACAAAAATCACATCGTAACATTAAAAACCCCACAAAAGGCAAACAAATTTTTGTTCTCAACAGAACCACATTGTAACATTTAAAGAATCACAAGTGAATATACTATGGACAGGAGACACTTGTTTTTTTTTTTTTTTAAAATAATGTGAGGCAGTGTGGTGAAATCAGGTGCTTGTAAAAAAAAAAATGTAATCAAGGTAACCGTCATTTTTCTGATCGTGGAGCAGTTTTTTTCTAATTTCTGCTTTTCTTTTTTATCTCAATACCTTCCAAGTCCATTTAAGAACACAATGCAGTGTGGATTTTTTACTGAAGAACATAGATCCAAGGCACAACAAATCTAAATTTGTAATTTCCAAGCATTCTCAAGCTTTGGAAGGCACCAAACTTTGGCAGCCATTTTTTAGCTAATTTTACCACAAACACCAGGTAACTGGTAATTTCTTCAATAGTAAATATCTTGACTTTTATTCAAGATAGATGGATATTTTTTTTGCCAAATGCAAGACAAATGACGAAACTTTAAGATGATACTAATAACTCCAAATGCCCAAAAACTGACGAGCGCCCGATCCCACCGCGTTGCGACACAAATAAAAATGAAAACAAGACATAAGTAGACCTGCTTGGGCCGCGATGACGGACAAGAGCTACAATTTTCTAACCTCACAAAATTATCTACAGCTGAGATCCGTATTAGGAGAGGAAATAATGTTTTACAAAAACTGTAGGCTCTGTCTGCAGCACAAACAGTGCTTGGAACAATTTACAGTCAGGCCTTACAGAACAACCCCTTTGACAAACTTCCCATAAAAAAACATAAAATCCTGTTCCAGTGCGTAAAACACAAAATTATTTTTGTCATGTAAAAAAAAAAGGAAGTAATCATTCTAATTAGAGCAAAGTCATCACAACACAAAGACAGGGAGATATGCTAACAGTGGGTGGTGATAAATGTAGAATGGGTTTATGCCGAGCCAAGTTATATAAATATATATATAAAGAATACAGAGCGTATTGAACGTACAAAGTAGGAATGTGGAGAAAAATATAGGACAACTCTATGGAGTGACCTACAGCTCACTCCCTCAACTTAGAGGGGATACAAATAAAACTGTTCCACTTCATATAAAAAATCTGGTACACATGTTCACAAACCTTGGTTCACTATTGTGGTTTCAGTCTTGTCATAAAAATATAGGAAATGAAGAACAAAAAGACCCCCCCCCCCCCCACCCAAAAAAAAAAAAAACAACAAAAAACGCAAAAGACAATAAACCATGCAGACCACATCGATCTATCTATCTATCTATATATATATATATATGAATATAAATATAAGATCTTTCTCTTCCTCTGAAGAGTCCAGAGCTCCAATCTGACCTCCAGAACAAAACCGCGTGGGTAGTTACAATAAATAACTTGTAGCAAAAAAGTAACTCGCATCTATTATAGCCTACCTGGCAAAGGGCCAATTACGTTAGCAAAGGTACATAACTCTAACATGACTACTCATGCCTCCAGTACAAAGGAAATGAGGTATTGAACTAGAGAATTCCACAAAATACCAGGCAGTAAAAAAAAGCTAATAGCTGTTCAGTTGAGAATCTGATAAAAACTCAAAACATATTAGCTGAGAAATTTGCGGGCAATGTGGAATAGAAAAAGTACCTTAGCAAATTTACACAAAACCACCCTTGCATTTAAACAGAACCATCCTAGCATTTAACTAAGCGACAGTGCTGTCTAAAAATGAGGAAAGACCACTGAAATTCTCTAAATGTAAGAGAATTTAAGGAAATCCATGAGCCGTATACTCTAATCCTACAAAATAATCCAGTAAAGTCATGTCTGTCAAGTATTTCTTTACATGACTTCATGACGACACGACACCGCAGAAAAATCAAGAACTAAACGCTAGTGATGACTGAGAAGAAGAACAGTGTGACCCCATCCAATCAAAATTCATCGACAATATAAACACAAGTTTTCTAGAGCCTCAGATGGAAGCCAAAGTTACTTCTCAAGAAATACGGGAAGACAAATTACTTATCTAACTTGGAAGGACTCCCATATTTTGATTTAAAATAAACAACAACAGCAAAACAAATATTAAAGAAAGCTGTCGATTTGGTCAAGCTAAACTTTTCATTATCAAAAAAGAAAGGCATGAGATATAATATAATTTGTACATAAAGACACAATGCTGTTTGTTTTATTTGTAGGAGATGTGTGTGTACAGAAATAACAATGCTGATTTAATTGTAGGAAATGTTGGAGAATACCAATGCTGTTTGTTTCAATTGTATGATATGTTAGAGAAATTACAATGCTGTTTCTTTCAACTGAATGATATGTTTTCAGAAATAACAATGCTGTTTGTTTCAATTGTATGATACATGTTCACAAATAAACAATACTGTTTTAATTGAATGATATGTGAGAGAAATAACAATGCTGTTTGTTTCGATAGAATGATATGTGTTCAGAAATAACAATGGTGTTTCTTTCAAAAGCATGAGATGTACATGTACAGAAATTACAACTCTGTTTGTCTTAACAACCATCTCATCTTTAGTTTCTCCTAAATGGAATGTGAATAATAAAAAAAAAAAAGGAAAAGAAAACAGAAACTGACTCCTTTTCCCCCCAATAACACTCATTTAAAAATCAGAAAGTTACTTGGTATAACGTTCTTTAAGTATATTAGTTCTAATAAGCCAGCATGTTCAGCAAACCTTATCTCATACTGAAAAGCCAAAAGTTCGCAATAATAAACAAAGCGTAAGTGCCTAAAAGAATAAACAACCTAGTCTAGCTGACCCAGAAATACAGGTCAGGGCAGCCACCATGAGCAAAAAAGTTACAGAAGGCCGCTTTTGATTCAAAACCAAAACTGAAGAATATTAGCAAAACTTTCCTAGGCACAAAGACAAAAGGCCGACAGAGGACAAATCTATGCTAAAATGTCACATCTTCACAGGCTGACAGGGAAAAAAAGCAGTGCTAAAATATCACAACTTCCCAGGCAGACAGACACAGAACAAAACTGTGCTAAACTCTCGCAATTTCACATTTTCACTAACAGAGAACAAAACTGTGCTAAAATCTCGCAACTTCACATTTTCAGTAAGAGAGAACAAAACTGAGCTAAAATGTCGCACAACTTAACAGACTGACAATGTCCAAAAAAATCGCTGCAGAGGAGACACCATTATAATATATACTCGCCTGTTATACAGGGGATGTAGGCCTACTTCAAATTCCAGAATTGGCCCATTTTTGTATGCAACTCGTATATAAAACAAGAGGTGAATTTCTGACATACAGGAGGGGGCATCAAATAGAGCGCCTTATCTTTGACAGTTGTTGGTTGCTGTATCGAGATTGATTTAATCTGCAAAAATCTTATTTAGCATTACTTCTCCTTGGATGGGCCCTATCCTAGCCGTACTGCACATTTAAAAAAAAAGTGATATATTTTTAGATCTCAATAAGAAGAAAAAATCCCTTGTATTATAAGCGAGTGCATACAGTATGTAATGGATGAGTGTCATGGTCAATTATATTTGTTGGTACATTTGTCGTTGGTCTTTCAACAAACAGTGTCATGTAAAAAATCCCCAAAAAACTCTTCAAAGCAAACTTTACAGGACGGGGAAAAAAATTAGGTATTCAAAAGTTGGAGCTCGAAATTCAATCTGAAGCTCCTTTTGAAACTGAGAAAGCAAGGAGGAAATTTCAGGGTAGAAATACACGACATTAGCGAAACTGTGATTGTGAATATCCTTTCTCATGCAGGCGTCAAATCAAAAACTTATGTTCTACACAATAAGCGCACTAATACCATGTGACAGTTTCAGATCTATTGCTCAGAAGGACAACATTTTACTCAGGAGATAAGATGGTGAAGGACCAGCTTGACAAGTCGAATTAGCAAAGCCAGAGTAAAAAACCCACCAACTGTAAAAATTTAACAAATCAATAGAGCCTCACACTTCACATTCAAAACTGCATGCAGCAAACAACAGCACACACATCTAACAAAGCTCTTGGCTTTTGATCTTAAACATAGCCACACATTTACAGAAAACCTCTCCCCAAAAACTAAGACAGAAAAAGAGACAGAGAGAGCTCAAAGTAGGACGCAAGAAACGTGGGAGCTGCATACACATCACAGAAGGAAGAAACTTTCTCCTGCACCATGATAAAAGATAAAGGATTTGTTTTGGTCACTCGTTACAGTGGTGTTTTATCATAATAATGTCCCAATGGCTTTCATTAAAGGGCTCATGTGGATAAGAAACAAGAGGATTTCAAGATTTACTGCATGGGCTAAACCTCACAGAGAAGTCACATCCAGAAACAAGAATGACAGCTACTCAAACATGGGAGAAAACTATCCACTTATTAGCTCTCCACTAAAACTTGGTGAAAAAGGTTGTAAAAAATCCCTTTTTCCTTTATCCCCCTGGACCTCATCTAGTACAGGGGGGCCAAAAAAGCGCACCGTTTAAAAAAAAAGTATACTATTATGCTTAAGAGGATTCCAAACATTAAATAATTTTTTAAAATAAATGCTTTACAACAGACAAGCCTCAACATTTCATGACCTTTCCAGTACTAAATGTGACCTTTGTGCTAATGATCAAGAATGTACCCAATCTGCCGGCTAGTAGTAGAGCCAAGAAATATGCAAACATTCGATACAAGAATAAAACAGACACAAACCATACCAGGGGATCTTTTCATTACGATAAAAAAACTTGTCGCTAACCTTAGCAGAAGACAAAGATATAAATATTTTTTGGTTGTAATGCTGAAGCAGAAATATTGTTGAGCACTACAATTTAACAATATTTGTTTACAGGAGCATAGTTTTGTAGTAGCGAGGCTGACTTCATATGCACACGGCGTCTTCTTTCATGTTTTCTTTAAGAAGACGAAAAGTGAGGAACTGCCATTTGATTTATATATATATAGCGAATATAAGATTCATGATCACAGTATAAATTGTTATAGCTACAATAACGATGGAAAAAAGTAATTCTTTTTCCATTATTATTTCTATAACCCATCTTCTTTTGAAAGTCAACCAAAAACATGTAAAAAAACCCCAAAACAACCCCAAAAAACCCAAAGTAAATAAAAGTAATACAAAATATTGTGGCCTGTTCGGTTGGAACGTTAAAATCCTTAGGCAGTCCCTTCCCAGCAGTGTAGGGGGGGAAAAGACAAATAAATACAGATACCATATTCCCATTTGTCAAGTCATCCGAGCTTGAAACACAGGTTTCCCATTACTTAAGTCATCCGACTCGACGCCAACAGCTGTAGGTCCAGCTTGCTCCCCCATCCCCTCACATGCGGCTCCAGCGTGCAATGTGCTGGTGGCAGTTGGGGCAGGTGTGGATCACGTCCTGGCAACCCTCCACGCAGAATGGGATCAGGCAGCAGCCCAGCACACATCTGTCGGGGAACAAAACATTCTCACTGTTAATGACACGAGACTTGGGACATTTCTTGTTGTCGTTATTTTAATCCATTCGGGGAAAACTCAAGTTTGTTAGTAATTTGTTAGAGTAAAGAAAAGCGCACTGAGACAGAACTGTTTTTATCTCTCCTCCTTTTCTTTGTAAGTTACTCTTTAGTATCACCTCTAATCTTTGGCACTTTTAAGACCTATCTGTGTATTAAGAGCTTTAGAACTCTTACTAAAACTACAAAATGACAGTCAGTTAGTACAGGAAAAGAGCAAGACACACTGACAGAAACAACAGTAGGTAGTAAAAGGAGTAGCCAGTAGCACCCTCCACATGTATGTTAATCTTGACTTTTCCTCGTCACCCATCAGTTCACATTCTCAAAATAAGTAATTTTTTTGTCTTCTTCTGCCTCTTTGACATTTTATATCCTCATTGAGAGCAGGACATTCAAGGCCTTTACACCAACCTGAACAATAACACGACATATCCAGAATCGCGACAGCTTTTCCTGAGAACAAAACAGGAGAACACCAGAGAACTCACCCGATGATGCACAGGATGAAGCAGACCACCCAGGAGAATGTCCCATTCTCGAAGCGGGTGGCTGTGACGATCTCGGCCCGGCAGTGTGGGCAGCACGTGCGGACTGGGATGGCCTGGAAGGTCTGGACCAGAGTGACTGGTGGCTGAGTGACCACCACTGTCGTGTTCTGGGCTGGAGGACCTCCCTGGGCCGGCGGGTACCCCTGCTGGGGAGGGGGTGGGTAGCCGGCCTGTGCAGGGGGGTAGCCGGGCTGGGGAGGCGGGTAGCCCGCTTGTGGGGGTGGGTAGCCTCCGGGAGGGGGGTATCCTGCAGCAGGTGGCGGTGGGCCATAGCCTGGGAATGACAAAACCATAACACTACAGTACGGAGATTACTGAGTTCAGATGGATACAGAGAAAGAGGTGGGCCCATGAAAAGGTCACAGAAAAGGACAAAAACAATATAACCATGCAAAGGGCGATAAAACAAACAAGAGAAAGCCATTTGCTTCTGCGCTCCACACCTTAAGGTGACAGAGGCAGGAACAAGTAAGCAATCATTATCATTAAGTAGCAGTCTCCGCCTAAGATCCCCGTGCTTGGGACCAAGAAAAATGCGACTGATTCTAGGTCAGCAATGTTGTGCCTCTCATACAGCCCCGCCAACCAATTGGAAAAAGTGGCATGCTCAAACTGGCAGCATCTGCAAAACCTGTATTTCAATGTTCCAACCGTCCATCCACTTGCAGTGGGTTCCGGGTCATGCTGGACTAGCTGGGAACGAGGAAGTTGATAGTATCGCTAAAGAAGCAGCAGCGCTTTTACCCAGATGGACACGCCGATCGATTTCTCAACAGCAAAAGCCGTCATCCTCCTTCAACACGTGCAAAATGGAAGATAGAAGCAAAACTTTCTTGTTCAGACTAGTTTTCTAAAGACCCCATACAACAACACCAAACAGACATGTTGCACAGAAACATCAGTGTGGAGTTTGCTAATGTATGGGAGAGCTTAAATATTTGACAAACTTGGACTGTAAAACACACCTTTTTCATTCCCTGGGTAAGGTGGTGGAGCATCAGCAGACATCCTTGAGACCTCTGAAAAGTAATTTTTGAAAGGTTAGAATAATTATCTACGGAGCTGATTGTGGATACATCAGCCCCCCCCCCCACCCCAGCAACCAACAACTGAATTTATAAACTATAAGTAAAGGTGGCAACAAAAACAAATGGAGGTCCTGTCAAGCTCAAGGCAGCTGTAGTTCTGAATTGACACAGACTATGTCAAAGGAAAGAAAGAAAAATATAACTTGTAAAAATCTAGCACAGTCCAAAAGAGTGATATGACAAGACTTGGTCTCAAACAGTCAAGAAGGAACCATGTTCCCATAAAAAAGTAAAGCTTTCTTCCTCAGTTATTTATATGATTTTGCATTTGAAGCAAATTATTTGAAGAACAAAGAATGCAGGAAGTCATTAACAATCCACAACATATAAACGGTCCAGGATTTTATGCATGCATTAAAAAAAATCAATGTATGTGTGTCAAAGATGAAAAATAGCCCATACTATAATATTCATGAAATATTACGCAATACCAATCATAGCAGTGATTGAGTAATAATATATCTACAGCACAGCACAGATATATTGGTTAAATGGCCAGCTGCCCATTGGGTGGTGCATAGTGTCTGTCTGTTTCGTTTATAATTTCATATTCTCGCCAGTAACAATACATTATCATATAGAATCTAGATCTATATGGCATAGATCTTTCTTTAAAAGTTGTTTCCCCATCCGATCCTGTCATTGGGGATTGTCTTGTTAGTAAGACAACTTCCTGGGCCTTCAGCAAATAGTGGTAGGGTGGCCAATTCCTTTCCACGCTGCCTTTATTTCCCCAACTCGAAGTCAGGTACCCATTAACTGATTACTGCTGGGTGGGCAGGAGGGGGTGCAAAAAATCTGTGTCCAAACTGAGGCCCGAACCCGGACTTTCCGCTTCGGAGGACGTTCTTTCTGTAGGCCAACTGTAGACTGTACTGTAGTAAATTATGACATGGACATGGGTAACCCATTCAGAGGGGTAAAGCCAAAGTTTCATAAGTCAGGTAGGCCTACTCTTGGAAAAAAAAACTTTTTTTCAATCATATTCCATTTTATCAATAATAATAGATCTATAATAAAATAATAATGTCTAATAATGTAATATTTAGAATTAGAACTATTCACTTCAGTTTAGTTTGTATTTGTTCGAGATCAAAAGTCAAGCAACGTTCACTCTCCACCTCCATGACTCCATGGTATTATACTTACAGATAAGCTTTTCTTTTCTTCAAAACGTCCTTTGTTTCGTCGGTGGTACAATATCATACAATTGACCTGGTCTGTTTGTACAGATCCTTGTAAACAGCAAACACCTGTACTATACTGCTGTGCTCTCAGCCTTCTGTGCAATAACTGAAGTAAACAAAAAAAGAAAACATCCGGATTCTGAATTCCGGAACTGTCTTGGCTTCGGACTGCTGCAATACATCTGAGCGCTGATTGGTCAAAACACGGCCTTAGTTTTCTTACCAGTGGACCGGTCCCGGTGTCAATTGGATTAGAACAAAAATAGCTTTAAAAATTAATGCAAAAGTTATCTAAAAGTCTGTCCGTATTGTCAAGTCTGAAAAAGGTTTTTGTTTTGAAGAGCATCTAATTAGATCTGCGGAAGAAGAAGAAGTTCTAAGTCATGAACAAAACGAAAACTATACTGTCTCATCCAATACCCCAACGGTTCAGGGGAGATCATTCTATTGTCTCACCCCTCTTCTTTCTTGGACAATGTTTTGTTTCCCGTCGCCATGTAACGAAGTCTGGGGGGGATCGAACAAGTTCCTAACGAGTACAACCGGTAAACGCTCGTCCATCAACCATGGGTGCAACATAGATAGATCTAGTTGTTTTCAGTTACAAGTCAACAAGGGAAAATAATATTCACGTGAGTGAAATGTAGGCTTGGAGATGTCGCAACAGATAAGATAAAGTTATCGGTCACAACGAAGCCACGGACCACACTCCAACATTCATTACGATTTTTTTTTGAACGAAAGGTTTTTCAACTTTTGTAGTTCTATTGTTTTTATGTTAGCAAATAACTGTCGAGTCTTATAGTAGGTAGGCTTAGGCCTAGTAGATCCATGTTTCATGACAGTGTAAAGTAGTTTACTCTGGATGTGGTCGAGATTGCAGTCTTTATCTTGTCCAAATTTTAGAAAGATAATAATGATAATGTAAATGACGATAAAAAAGTACTTTGAATTTGACTTTTTACTTTTTCATCATGTTTGTTATCAGTGATAAATTATCTTTCTCAGTGTGTATTGGAGACTGTGTACTTGTACACTTGAACCAAATGTCTGCAAATAGTGCACTTATATTTTTGTGAACGGATCGCTTTCCTACTTTAATAATGGATGAGAAGCTTGTCGGGGTATTTCTTTTATTATATTTAGTATTGGATACCTTTATTATTCACAGTTATCAGAGACTGATCTAATCTCAGTTCAAAGCCAAAGAAACTTATTACAACCTGTTCACCTGTGAAAGGCATGAAGTGCAAACATTAGAACCATTTGTCTTTTTGTGACTTTACTCAATAAAAATGTAGGCTTATAAAGTGATAGAGTCTGGTATGAAATGAAGATTTTTCTCAGCAGCTTTTTACTTCACCTGGCAAAAGAAATGGAAATTAAAAGTCTTCAAACTCAAACCGTATTGTTATGATATGTTGTTGTTTTCAAATCCCTTTAGCTGCGAGCATTTCGCTCTTGGCAGCGCAATTCCTCCCTCAAGTAACCACATGTCCTTGTTATCTGGTCAACGCCAGAGTAGAGCAGGGTTTGTAAGTCTGTAGGTGTGTGTAGGAGCCTGCGTCGAAGAACTGCCAGGTTTGGGCCATGAAGGAGAAGATGTTTAACGGTATCCTCGTGGTAGTCACAGTGTCTTCAATGGGGTTCCCACATAGGATTAATTCTGTTTATTATGTCACGCTTGTTGGTGTGTAGGTGTCCTGTGCACGCTCTGAAGATCAAAGTCTGATCTACATAGAGATTTGATGGGTTGTTAAAATGATATAAACTGTTTGAAAATTTCCTTTTTTTCCATCATCCTAGTGTCAAATGTGAGGTGTGAGGTCTTGGGCACAGTCTACTGTCTTTGTGGTGTATGTGTGAATAGTTTTGTATGCTGGACATCATATTCAATGCATTATTTATAATTGCAATGCGTAAGATAGTGATTTGCAAAGTTCTATGTTTGATGGACTGTTTTATTTAGGCTCATTATAATTTGAAAGACTTTTTTTATTTGACTGTACTGCGAGGGATTTCCCCTCCCCTTTTTTTCCCCAGGCATTTTACCTGAGAAGGAAAGTTGCTTTATAATAGAACCTTGAGGCAATGCTTTTTCATACTTAATGCTACTGCAAAATATGTTTAAAATATCAAAGCAATGGTCATTAAATTAAATGGAATTGTATGGACGAGAAGGCAAGTAAAGTTTTCCTCTCTGCCCAGAATGATGTGACGGAGCTGCCTAAAGCTTTTTCTGTCTGTTTGAATGCTGGATTAGAATTATTTGTGTTAAATATTATTTTACTACTTGAATTTAAAATACATGGTACCATAATATTTGTTGTGAATTTTGCTAACTTTCAGGTTGTGAAAGAGTCGCCTCCAACAGACAAGATGTCATTACCTTTTACTGAGCGATATAGCTCTATCAAGAATCGATTGGGTGCCACATACTCTTCTGCAAAACAATTTGAGGCGGATTCCTATCACATTCTTGACATTGAGATTGATGAGAATGGTGTAGAGACGTGCCAAACCGGTCTTTGTGAGCTCAATAACTCCCAGATTGCCTTGCTCAAGTACCATGAGATACCAGATTTTCTTAAGGGAAATCCTTATGTTGTTCATGGCTACAGATCAATGTTGCCATTCTCCTTGTGTATGAAGAGGTGGGTGTATTTGTCTTTTTTTGTATGTATATTAATATATTATTACATTTGCTCCTGCTCTAGCGGCCACGTGTATAAGATAATCACCTGTACGAATGTCCACTCCCCCCCCCCCCTGAATTAAAAAAATAAATAATGGCACTGTATAAGACATCCAATGGATGGCCGTCTTAAACAATTTCTACTGAATTTGTTTATACACACAGTATTTTTTAAATCTGTCAGTCTTGGACAGATTAAGGTTTTCACAGGATAGGGATATGCAAATAGCTTTGAGCTGTTATTCTTTTGGCTCAGCGTTTAACTGTAAAAAACAACAACCCTGAAATAATAAATGGATAACAGTGACTATTGAGTCAATGATAGGTGTGTTGAAAGTCATAATGAAAATTTAACCTCTGCAGTATAGCAAGTTGCAATTATCAAACTTCCTAGCTCTTTGCTGTTGTGTCAAAGCTGTCTTTCTTCTGAAGGTCACATAAAACCTACAGCCTTGGTTCCCAAACTTTTTATGCTGTGTTATCAAAGATCTTCCAGTTTCCATTATCGTAACACTTAATAATAATAATAAATGACATTTATATAGCGCTCAACCCCGATTAAAGTACACAGGCTCTGAGCGCTTGAAACAGCACGCAGTGTAGTTTACCTATAATGTACTGCTGTGTACCCCTCACAGAATAGTTCCTTGCAATGTGTTTGATGCTTGAAGATCATGATTAAAATAATCATATTAATGCAACGGAATGAGGATCAATATTAGTTTGTAGAAAGTGAAAAAAGAAGCAGAGCAGGATCATTTTATTCAATCAGTTGTTTTCTGTGTGTTTTTTCCCCTCCAGCTTGTTGTTTTGGTCTAACGAGACTCTGAACATCTGGTCCCACCTGGGCGGGTTCTTCATCTTCCTGTTGCTGCTGCTGTGGGACAACCTGATCACGTTGCCCCGCCTCGGGGGTTCCTTCTCTGATCACCTCATCATGACCATCGGGCTCGTCTGCTTTATGGTCAGTCGCAACTTTTGTCGCAAGAGAAAATGTTTTGGTCTTTTACTGGCTTTATACTGAAGTGTGTTGTAAGCTGGTTATATGTCACTGTTCATCATGTGTAAATTTTGATGGAAGCTATTTCCCAATCAGATCAGATGTAGCATTATTCTAAGCTGTAATATGCCTGGTTATTACATTCATTGTGCATACAAGCACCAATGACTAATGTACCCCACTGGCTTCCATGTGTGTAATGATTGTTTGTTTTAGTAAGTGTTTTACGGCACTTGCAACACAAAAAGGAGGGGAGATAAGCACGATAGATGTTTGATGGGAAAAAAGGAGAAAACCACACCAGAGCACCCGCCAACCACCTACATGTATATTCTCTCGACTTTCATGTGTGTAATGTTCGCATAACTGCTTTATCTGTTGTCCCTGTGACAATACCCGAGTACATCTATCTTTTTTTGAAAACCAAGACCTGAGTTGACCATCATGAATAATAATTTGAGATGATGATTGGCCATTAGGTTAACCCCTGACCTCTGGTCTATCACATTCTCCCTCCCACAGTTCTGCATGCTGTGCTCCACGGGCTTCCACATATTCTGCTGTCACTCAGAGCGCGCCAGTCGTCGCTGGCTGGCCGTGGACATGACGGGTGTCTCTATAGGCATCATCGGCTGCTACCTGCCGGCCGTGCATTACGCCTTCTACTGTCTGTCTGTGAGTACAGCACATGTCTTCCTATACCTCTTGTGTCCGTCTGTGAGTGAGTTCAGCACATGTCTTTCTATACCTAACGTCTTGTCTTTGTTTTTTTCTCTCTTCTCCTCCTTATCTGTCTCCCTCTCTCCCTTTCTCCCGACCTTGCCACCTCTTCTTTATTTCTTGTCCTATTGTTATACCTAACCCATCTCCATTTCGGGTTATATTTTTGTTTATTGTTTCCTGCTTCGTTCCTCTACTAAACTCTTCCATTGCTTTGTCTTTAATAATTTTGATGCCAACTGGATCTTCAAATATATGTAAGATGGGAAAATCAAATTCATGTTTTTGTCTTGTGTCCATCTGTACTGTTGTAGATTTTGTTCTACTGTTATTGTCAAATAAAACCATGTAAGTATCGTATACTTCTTAAAATGAGAATATGGAATAATATTGTATTTACAGAAGTAATGAAAAATATGTCTGTTAATAAAGTTCCCACTTTTGTTGTTACAGGTAGAAATTTGATACAATATGATTCTGCTTTCTGTTTTAGTTATATAGGGTTCAGTTTATTTTTCAGGGCTGCAAAGAAATTTATTTAGCTACATAAGTTTACTTCTGCCATTGAGCAAACCTTAAAAAAATGTGGCAGATGTCAGGCTAATCAGAGGAGTTGTCCACTTTCTCAAAGAAATATACTGCTGTAAACTGAGACACTGTTTTCTCATCATGTGTTGATACCTTGATTCAGTAGTTTCTAGGTAACCACAGTTTTTCTTCTAATCCATCCTCACTTCTTATTCTTTTTCAGATATGGCGGGATGTCTACATGTTTGTTATCACTATATTGTCTGCGTGCACCTTGGGATTTCAACTTCACCCCAGATTTTTTACTCATGCGTGGTTCTACCCAAGAATGGCCGTCTACGTTGGTTTAGTGGCATATGGCATCATTCCTACTGTTCACTGGATTGTTTTGAATGGGGGAATGTCTTCTGTGCTTGTCAAGGTGAGACGTTTGCTCATGAAAACTGATAGAAAAATATCTGTCATATTATGTTGATAAAGTAATATTCATATTCATAGTGGAAATAGTAGACTAATACAGGCAAAGATATGCATAAGTACCTAACATAGTATGACGGAGTGCAAAATACTTTCTAGCAAATTTCTTTAAAACTGATAATTTAAAACATTTGTTTTGGTAATCAGCAAATTCTCCTCACTGTATAATACATATTGTTTTTAAATCTCAAAATATTCTTTTCCAAATCTTGATTATAATATGTCAGGTTTAACTGTTCATGGTGATTTTGTATTCACTTTACATTGCTTAAGTGCAGCCACACATATTGAGTGGCTCTACATTGTTCTTTCCTTTCTTGGATTCCATAAACCGGAGGTTTTAGTTTTTTGTTTTTGTTTCGTGGTTTAGTAAGATTTATGGTGCTTGTAACTGCGTGATGTCATATGGGTTTTTGTGTTTTCTATTAACGATGTTTTATTTGTTTTGTTTTGTCAGCTGTTTATCCCCAAGGTGACCATGATGTACTTGCTGGGAGGTCTGGCCTTCAGTTTTTACATCACTCAGTTTCCCGAGAGGATGTTTCCTGGTGAGTCTTTCTTGATGGTGCTGTAGAGCAGGGCTGTTGAACTCAATCGCTCAGGATGGGGCAAATGCGAAGTACATGTTGGACTGCGGGCCAAACTTGATGAACACTCATTGAGCAGTGGGAAACTAAACCTTTTTCAAACAATAAGATGAATTAAAGCAGACAAAATTTAAAAATAATAACTACACGGCGTACAGACAGCGCTCTTTTAGTTGGATCGGCGATGGAGTGACCGGGTCACGGCGGGCCGGTCACCCAGAGGTCACTAACCCGCCCTCCCGCT